CTATATAACCTATCAAACGTTAAATGTGTTTGTTGTAAATTTTGTCATTTTTTGTTTTAATTTTAGGTTAGTCCATTATTGATTAGTGGGAAGAGACCAGACTAACAATTAAACTAGTTTTTTATTTTTTTTTTCTAACCAAACAATTAAACTAGTTAAAACATATATTTTTTTATTAAAATACTACGTATTGATATTGTTGTAAAAAAATTGGAGGAATGACATAATATATGTATTATTTATCACAGGACTTTGTACATAGATGAGTTTTAATCGGTAAGTATCCAGTTATCATTCATGAAGAAATGGAATCTCACCAAATTTTATTTAGATAAAGGGAATGTGCAAATAAATAAATAAATAAATATATATATATTTTGTAATTGCACCTTACATTTAACTTTTGTTTATTTTATAACTACATTTTAGTAAATTTATTGAGCGATGTATCATATTAACACTGTGATAGAAAAAATGAGATTAATAATAAAATTGATACACCAAGATAATTTATTTTAAAAAGTATAGTGATCAAAACGAATGATGYTGGACGCTCAAAAATTGAGACCAAAATAAATCAAAGAATCAAAATAGTGTTTAAATCAAATATATTGGGGTAATTAATCTCTCGTACATCTAACATTACAAAACTATAGCCATATAACTTTTTTTTAAAGTACCAATTTAAACATAACCCGACTAAATATATATACTCAATAAAAAGTTAAATGTTTAAGAATCTCTACTCCCACGCGTTATTGAACTTAAGTTGGGTGAGAACCGATAAAAATTTGTTAAATATATAATTTTATTCCAATTTTTAATTTGGTTAAATATATAATTTTATTCCAAATTTCGAATTTTAAAATTGGTTAAATAAATTTCTGTGTGCAAAAGACAAAACATCTTGATTGAGAAACAGTCTCCAGTCTCCGCAGGCTGCCGCACCCCGTAATTATCACGAAATTTGTGGGTATAAAAACGACGCTCCTCCGTTCACGGGCAACAATTCGGACACTCCGACCGAGAAATATGATAAAGTCTAGTCATCATGACGACAAATCGGCACTGTGGATGCTTTATATTTTTTGTTTTCCACCGGAGTTTAGCTTATTCACTTCTTGGATCTATTAACACAACAACAATAATAACAATAATTATTATTATTATTTTTTATAATCGTCAATGTTCGATCTAATTTACACGAATCTCAATTAATCTTACCGAACAATCAGTTAAATCTACTACATTTTTTTAAAATTATTTTAATTTACCTTAATCTTTTTAGACCAATGAATCAACTCACAATGATTTATCGGCACCAATTTTCAATTTTGTTTTTCGTCTTCAAAATGTTTACTCTTGTGGAGTTAAATTTTTCTTAATCTAAATTTATTAAGGAAAAAATATGTCGAGATTTGTTAATATAGAAATTCACGTGTTATAAAATTATTATTTTGCTCACCTAATTTGACACATGATATTATATAGGACACAGTCATGCTGCTTGAAGAAATAGATTTTATTCCTATGGACAAATAAAATTGTGTGTATTAAGTAGCATGGAAGGGAGTTCTTTTCGTGAGCTGATCTAAATGTTTGTGTCCAAATGAAATTTAAATTGTTTCTTTTCTAAATAACAACCACAAATTACGTTATTGACCACGTTAAAAATATGTCTCTCTTGCTYTCCTTCAAGCAAACTTGATCGATGGAAAAAAATAGTGACTCAAAATAAGAGGAGTAGGAGAAGACGTCGAGATCATGACAATAATCATTGATAGGCTTCGATTGAGAGAGAATAACGAGAATTTTTTTTTTTTTGTCAGATTTCGCTTTTAAGTGAGTTACTATCACGATTACACAAATTTTTGAACTAATAGATATTTGGATTCTACCTATCATCATTGTTATTCCCTCTCTCCACAAACTACCTTCTCCTCTAAAATTGCCTTGGCTTCCAATTGGTGTTGGAGGGTCGTGATAACAAGCAATACTAAGCGTTAGATAAGGGATCAAAGAGATTACGCAAGAGTGATAAAAAGGGGGAGAACTAACGAGAGTGAGATTGAACATAGTGAGAGAGAGAATGAGCGAGAGCAAGAAAGAGACGTGAGTGAGACCAAGAATTAGTTGAGAACGAGTACGAGGAAGAGACGTGAGGTTGAGAGAGAGAGGGAGACAGAAACATGTTTTAATCATAAATGTATTTTAGTTTGGTGCGAAGTCAATTGTGTGACCCAAAACACTATCAAAAATAAAACAAACCCAGAAGAAAAAAAAATTAAAAAAAAAAAAGCTAACAAACTAATATAACACTTCATAATAGTGGAGACTAAATTTAATCATAGCCTAAAATTTAAAGTCTCTGTGAACTAAATAAATACCACGTACAAAATTTAAAATTAAATTTATGATTTAACAAAAGCCAGTCTCAAAAGGGGTAAACTAGAGAAGCTTTTTTAACATTTTGTAATTGTTTTCATTTCGTTTGGTAAATTATATTTTCACTCGTTTCATTTTGGTTATTTGGTTATTGTACTTTTAAAATTGTTATTTTAGTCAATGTAATTTTAATTATTTTTCATTTTAATACCTATAATTTAAAAATATATGATTTGGTCTATGTATTTTAAAAATCGACTATTTTTATCATTATTTATAACATTTATATACGACATAAACCTTTAATACAATTTTATGATTATATTTGAAAAATAATAGTAATTGAAATGTTATGTTAAATTTGTGACAGAAAACAAATAAAGAGATGAAAAAATTCAAAGACCAAAATAGTAGCTTTTTTTAAGAACAGTAATTAAAATAAACAGTAACCCTAATAAATTAAAACGGAAAAATTATTGAGACCAAAATAATATTTAAATTTGTGTATTTTATTATTATTTTTTGTTAGGAGTCTATGGAGGCAATAAAAAGCCTATATTTCGTAAAATTGAAACCTTATACCGATGGACGTGGGGTTTATGTCTACAAATCATAATTCTTTTATTGCTTAAATCTTTGGCTTAAGCCATACGCATTAATAAATATAGCTTGTTAGACGGTGACTTCAATCAATTTMTTTTTAACAACTTTAGAATTATGACTTTTTTGTTTATTTATTTATATCTGAATTTCAGTTAATACTTTAATATATATTTTTCAAAATAGAATTTTAAATGCTTGGTTATGATATCTGTCTATATACTTATTATTTTTTTCAAAATTACCTGTGACAAGATGGAAAATATTAAATAATTGACTCTTCATTTATTTTTGCATTTCTATCTCTTATATTTAAACAATTTAATAATATATTTTCTTAACATGCAAATATTTTTCTGGAAGGAAAATATATATTTTTTAATTTTTGCCATTAAAAAGATGGAGAGATAATCATGTTGGATTGAAAATTAAACATGAATAATTAGATAATAAAACTGCCAGTATTATGGCTTGCAGTTACAGTTACGCCCAAATAGTAAGTAATGAATCATAGCCAGCTTTCTATTACCAAGAAAGAGCAAGCAATCTTATTCTTGTGTAATTTACAGCCAAATTATTAATTCCTTTAATGCAGAATTCTAAAGCGAGGACATAGATATTTATTAAATTTAGAATAAAATATTAAAATAGGGCAAAATATTTATTAGATATCTAAAATTTTAATGATTACTAAAACAGGGGCAAATGCAAAATTATAATTAATAAATGTCTTTTTTTTATTATTATAACTAGATTAAAATATAATTTTAGTCTCTCTGTACTCTTAATATTGGTTAGAAAAATAAAATAACATAAAATAAGTTATTGATTTAAAATTTTGAAGTTTCAATCCGGCAAAGTGAGAACTGAGACGTGGAAACGACACGAATGCTTTATTTGATCATTAAAAAATTGATTTGAATACGACGTCGTTTTCAAGGTGTACTGATCTATCTTGAAAAGAGCGGGAAGGGAAGACAAAATTTTCCCACTTTCTTTGCTTTATATTTTATTTCTTTTTCTGGAAAGAAGAAAACTTTTAATTTAGTAATCTTAATTCTTTCATTTTGCTATTTCAAATTTCAACGCATATTTCTTTTAAGATGAAAAAAAATCAAAGCATAAAAGGTAAAAATATGATACGAATTTATTTAATGAAAAAGTAATTAATATAAAATTTAATATGTACGTAATAAAGTGCAAAGATGAACATAAAGTCATTATAAGGATTAAATATTAACATAAAGTCATTTAATTAAATAGCGTATTATTATTTGAGAGTGTTTTTTTAAGTAGATATTTATACAAATTATATCCGAGTTTCTGTTAAATAGTTTATGAAAAATTAATCGCAAATGTCTCCTTTTCTTCACAACGTAAGGTTGTTTACGAGACAAAAAAAAAAAAAAGATTTTAGTTTTAGCACAAAAAATTAAGAGATTAAGAAAGAAAAAAAATACGAGAAATAGTTTTTGATCCTAAAACAGTGGCAGCCATTGTTGTAGGCCACGTTGAACAATCTCGTGGGGGCGTCGATTTCAAGACGGGAGCTGCTACATTCACATTTCACACACAACTCCAATTTTCAGTATATAAAGGAGAATGTAGAGGCAGAGGGAGAGCATTCCGCACCATAATCAGCACATCCAGAAAGTGAAGAAATCGATTTCAAGCTTCAAGCTATGGCGACCCTTCGTGTTCCTCATGATGTTCCTCCCCCTAATGCCGATGCAGAAGCCATTAAAGAAGCTTTCAGAGGTGATCGATCTTTGTGCATCGGCGTTTTGTTTTGTTTTGCTTTCTTTTTACTTGGGTTGATCGGTTCGTTTTATGATGATCGGATTGTGGCTTGATTTTGAAATCGTAAGAGATATGTGTTGTGATTGTAGGGTGGGGGACTGATGAGAAGGCCATAGTCGCGGTCCTCGGCTACAGAAATGCAAGTCAGAGGAGGCAGATCAGGATTGCTTACGAACAGCTTTTTGAAGAGGATCTTGTTAAGCGCTTTGAATCTGAGCTCTCTGGCCACCTCGAGGTACTTTTTCTTTTTCATCGGTCGTCACTGATCTTGTTCATCGCATTCTTGCTCGTCACTCTTCTTATCTTAATCGATCGTCTTATATTCTTCTCATCATCGGTATCTGATACTTCTCTCTTTGTCAACGAGATCATCGCGATCCTCAATAGTGATTATAATCGTCAAAACCATTGGAATTTCTGCTCACTTTTTTAAGATCGACCGATTCTTGTGTTAATACGATTTTTGCTTAATATTATTGTTATACAAGCTGAATCGGAGCTTAATTGTTTGTTGCGGAAACAGAGAGCTGTGTACCGATGGATACTGGATCCAGAAGACAGAGACGCTGTATTGGCCCACGTTGCCCTAAGGAAGCCCGAGGAAGATTTTGCAGTGATTGTCGAATTTTCTTGCATTTACTCGCCTGAGGAGTTCTTGGGGGTCAGAAGGGCGTACCAGCACCGATACAAGCATTCCTTGGAGGAAGATGTTGCCGCCAACACTCACGACGATTTTCGCAAGGTCCGTAACTTGTTCCTCATCCATTGTATTGACTCGATTATCCATTGATACTGATTTTCTTTGGCTCTCTCGACGGTCTGTGTTCGGATCTCTGAATTTGGGTAAAAATCCACCATCGCCGTTTCACAGATCAACTTTTCAGTTTTGCTTTGGGAATTCAAATCGTTATAGTTGTTTCGAGAATGACAAACTTCTCATCTTATTGATTTATTTTATTAGTAATGTCTGATTCCGATGCTTTCAATTAAGAGGGAAAAAAAGTGTAACGCATCAAGGAAGTCTCCATAGTCTCAGTTGAAACAGTGCTCTAAGAGGGAAGATATGCCTTCCATTTAATATAGAGATTCTATCCCACGTTCTGAACTGAAATACTAATGAAAAGGACCACGTGAATTAGCATACAACTTATTCATAGAAGGCTACTCTGGAATCGGAATAAGAATATAAATTCTAAATTAGGGGAAAACCCAGAATCGAAAACAGAATAAAAGGATTAGGGATCTAACATATTGGGAGAATTTGATAGTTTTCTTTAAGAACATTATATTACAACCTATAAATGGACACATGAATGCCTAATCGTTTGAGTTGTGATCAGGTTAGCGAGAACTTATAAATAGGCACATGTATGCTTAATCATTTGAGTCGTGTGCTCTGGTTCGGGAGAATTTGATATAGTTAAAAGAGGCTAAAATGATGCAATTTTAACATAAAGATTGTATTAACACTACAAATTTTACTCTAATGTTAATACGATGGAGAAGATTTAACTAGAATGGAATGGCATGGAAAGTTTCAAGTGTTTTTGGATTGTTGATTGCTGACTTGTGACAAATCATTGCAGCTGTTGGTGGGATTAGTGGGTGCATACCGTTACAATGGAGAAGAGGTAGATGCAAGGCTAGCCAAATCAGAAGCTGAGATACTTGAGCGTGCAATCAAAGAGAAGACCTTCCATCATGAAGATGTTATAAGGATCCTAACCACAAGGAGTAAGGCACAGCTGGTTGCAACTTTCAATCACTACAAAGATGACAATGGCATTTCAATCTCTAAGGTATAAAACCAAGAGTAGAGATACTAATTTACATTGATATCAAGATAAATGATATAAAAGTTTATATATGAATCATATTAACCAAACCCATTGGATAGTTCATCACATTGTAATTGTGCTTAACTTACCATGTTGGAGTTTTAAGTCAGTGTCATTTTTTGCAGAAATTGGCTGAAGATCCCGCATCCAATGCATTCACCGAAGCTCTACGAACCGTGATCCGATGCATCAATGACCCTACGAAATACTACGAGAAGGTGAGGAACTCTCTCTCTCTCAAAGTAGATTACACTTATGTACATGTTTTAATAAGTTTTCCTATACCAATCCTGGCCTTGGAGATCTTCACTGAATAGAGAACTGAAAAAAGCTTCCATTTCTATACCAATCCTTGCATGTTCTTCATTATCTCGAGCTGATTATCAATCAACATCATCCTGAACTGAACACTCTTGAGTTTTCAGGTGGTGCGCAATGCAATAAAGAAGATTGGGAAGAGTGATGAGGATGCATTGACCCGAGTGGTGGTGACAAGGGCGGAGAAGGACTTGGGTCTGATAAAGGAGGCTTATCAGAAGAGGAACAGCGTTAGCCTTGAAGATGCTGTGGCCAAGGAAACCTCTGGCGATTACAAGCACTTCATCCTTGCTCTTCTGGGTAACCAAGCTGAATAAGAACTCTGCCTCTTATCAATAAAATGATATTTTACCCTATGAGTGTGTTTGAATCGGCTTGTAAGTAGTGTTGTTGTTATATGATATATAATAAGCTGCTTGTGTTGTGAGGATTGTGTTTTGTTGAAGAAATGCTTGGTTTTTTGTAATGAGAGGACATGATGGTGTTGTTAATTAAGTTGTGGTGTTCTTAAGTTTCTTTGTTGTGTCTGGTTTTGATCATCTCTCTCTGTTTCTAATTTCTTTAGAAAATAATGTGATGTTGGGTATCAAATCGTAGGAACAAAGGGAGTTTATGGAGTGAATTTGAGAAATTTATGGTTGGAATGAATTTTCCATTTTGACCCAACGTTTAAAATTATTTGGCAAGTGTTGGTTGATGTTTATAGTCTTAGTTTATGAAAACCAAGAAAAGTACAAATTAAAAAAAAATAATTTGGTACAAAATGTGGGATATGTTCGGTTAGAGATGTATGTTAATTACTATGTTAATTACTACAGAGATGTATGTTAATTACTATGTAATTGCTACTGAGGCATAATTTTGGTAAAAAATTTAATTTAGATATATTAGTGGGGAAGGTGAGAAATCAATAGCCTAAACTTTAAAAATTAACCATTTTAGTCTTCATCTTTCTTTATTTTTTTTATTTTTTTAGTTATTTTAACTTCTGATCTTTCTATTATCTAATGTTGGCCTGCTCAATATCTGTTAAATGATAAGAACTCAATTGTTGAAAAATCACAACTTTATACATGCATTTAATATATATTATAAAAAATATTACAACTTTTTAAAATTTATAATTTTAGGTTTTTTTGTACAATATTTTTTTTCAAGGTATAACAAATGTTTTTTTTAATATCACATTAGAGTTGGGGTTTGAATTGAATTATCGTACAATTTCCCAAACGATTCCTTGAAAATCAATTCAAATTGATTTTAAATTTTTCTAAAGTCAATTTTTTTAATTTGCCAAACATGATCAATAAAAAAGAAAATGATTTCGATGGCAAAAATGAGTTTGATCATATCAAAATCACTCCCAAACACACTGGAGTTGTTGAGGTCATCTCTCAACATTATTAGGTCATTCTACGTCCAGTTTGTTCATCAATCATTAAATTACTGTTTTATTAACATAATTAGCTACATCATATATTATCTGACATGTGAAACTCAACTTACCCGTTAGTAAAATTCGACCCACTAATTAACAAAATTAAAAATTTTCTTGGATAGAAAAATACAACATAACACGTGGACCAATAAAGTTAGCTCGATATTGTCAGATCCTTCCAACTAACCAAACGGAGAAGACCAACCTACCCTTAGGGGTCGAGCTGAAGACCATGAACCAATTGGAGAATGAACCAAGTTCTCTTCAATTGAGGACTCTCACCTTAGGCCAAACAACCGACCTGGGCCCAACTCCTCGTAACCGCTAGTCGAAGTGGTTCCAACGACCTTGTCCCCCCCACTGCCTATAAAATGGACACTTCACCTGTCCATTCAAGTACACTATTTTGCTCTGAGAACGATCTACTAAGCTCGTGCCCTACCAACTTGCTTAAGCTCGCACCTTGTCAGCTCACTCCATTACTGCATGACTGATTTCGATAGCTTGACAGAATCCTACATCAACCATATAGTATGTTCGTGATGCTAACATGCTCACGTATCTAAACATATTAACAAAACAAACTTAATAACACAATAGCTATATATTATTAGATAAATATTAACTTATAATTTAATACATTAGGTATATTAAAAATAAGGTTTAGGATCTAAAAGGATCAAGGACTAAATTGAAAAATAAGAAAGATTAAGGATTATTAGGTATATTAAACTTTATTTTATTTGATCTTTGATTTGTATTTCTCGATTCAGGAAATCCTCGTTCAGAAACTAGGCCCCACAAAGTCTTATTTGTCGTCTTACCTAACTTGATTCTCATGGAGGGCAATGTCCTTTTTTGTCGTTTTCCTTGCAGGTCTCATGAGTCATTACCCGACAAATTTTGCACTCACAAAGCGATCACTATTGATATAATTGCACCTTTCCACCTCATCAGCGAAGGGAATAATTTTTTTTAGGTTTAATTGAAATTATATTTAATTTTAGATATTATTTTGATTCAGATGTTTTATTTATGATTAGAAATTATCTTATTACAAATACAACCATATATTTGTATCGAGAAATTGAATATGAAATCTTATTTTGTAATTCTCACTCCATAGAAGCTTCCTAAATTTAGTAGTGCTCGTTAAATTTTTGACAAATAAAAAATGAATTTTTGTTTTAATCGAACTCAAAATAGACGTTGATAGATATACATTTAAATATTTTCCTTCTTCATTATACAGAGGAAGGAGAAGGACCTAAGAAGTAATAAATTAGTTTACCTTTTAAGTCAGAGATATTTAATGATGTGGCATGGACCACGAGATCAACGCCTCCGATGACATCCATARTGGCATGTGTCCTTGCCTCTATATCTTGACCTTTCGATTTAGTCCAAATTATCCTATCAATCAAGTCTGAAAATAAGGTATTTTGTTTGGATGACTCCTCTTAATTCATGTCTCTATCTCAAATAGTCTCAACTTATTACAAACTCTTTCATAGAATTTTTATTTTGCGATAAAATTTTAGATTTACTCAATTTAGCCTGTGAATTTTTAATATATGCATGTTTAAATTTTTTTTTCTCGTCACTAYGGTCATGTTTATACTCTGTATATTCAAGACACTCTGTATCTATATGCTAAACCAATAGTAAAAAAATATATATATTATTATTATTATTATTGTCAACTTCAAGGATTTTTTAAGGACTGAATCAATCTAAAAGTTTAAGGATTGAAATGAAATTTAAATCTTTTTTTTTTATCAAATAACTCTCGAGAACATTTCTTATCAATATGAACGCCAGACGATTTAGACAGCTACCTAATTTCACATTTATGGCTTGTGATTGTACTCAATTTCCCTCCTTTTATAATCAACAATGACAAATTAGTAAATTTGAATTGGTAAGGTTATCACATAAGCACTAGTAAATTTTAACATCTATTAAAAGTAAATAATAATATAGTTAATAATTTGACTAAGTATCAAAAGAGGAAAAGTTTTAGCCCCTTGATTTTCTTTTGTCTTTGGAGCCTTTCTTTCATTTGGTGAGGCTTGAAATAAGGAAGAGGAGATACGGAAAATTCAAAAAAGGAAAGTGGTGCCCTTTAATTAAATAATTAATATATTAAACTTATTTTTCTATTTATTTTCTTAATATAATGTCTTGGCTGAATTAATATATTTGGAGTCAGAATGAAAATGATTTTTTAATGTTTTTATTTACTATAAAACTATGTAGAATTTAAATAGGAATCAGGCATATAACAATTATTATAAATACTTGTATAAAAAATTAAAAAAATTATTAGAAATACTCATTTTTTTTAATTTCTAGTTAATTACAAATATATTAATTTAATAGTATTCTAATATTATTTTTTAATTAAAATAGTAAAAGTTAACTTAATTTATTGATGGTATTAATTTTTATTTTAACAATTTATTTAATATCAATAAATAATTAAAATAAAATTATATCAATTAAGAATATTAATATAATTTGTATCCAAACACCATCATGGATAAAAAATTTTATTGGTTATAACATTTAATCCTTAATAAACTTTATCTTAATAATTTTAATTAATAATAATGAAGTAAAATCAAATAATCAATAAATTAAGTACTAACCTATAACATTTTATAATAAAATCACATCAACTAAAATAATTAGTAATTTAAATAAAAATAGTAAAGTTGTTAGTAATTAATAAGAAAATTATGAGTTCTTCTAGATAAATTATATATATTTTTTTAGGACAGATTGATTCGGAAATTTGAGCCATTATACATAGATGGATAATAATAAAGAAAGAAAACAAAGCATAAAAAATAAAAATTAGGTATTTAAAAAAAGCTGCTAACACAACACCTAACCCATTTTAATTATATAAATAATTTTTAAAGACTGCCACTAAATAATTCATACCAAAAGCAACTCCAAATGTCATAGTTGTGGACAAAAGTCGATAGAAATTGATGTCACAATTTAGACCTTCGGCATGATAATAAGTAATGAAGCTGTCTTCTCAAAGGTGGCCTTTCTTTTTCAAAATTTAAAATTTAAATTCCGGACCTCAAATCCGATAATCTATAATCGTCCAACCTCCCGTCATAATGGTAATAACGGACTTATTATCTCACACTAGATATAAAAACGATACTACTCTTACGACTCAGATATATAATTCTATTTTTGGTTGACTTACTGAACTTTACACAGCTTGCTTCATTATAGTTTGCTCATATTCATCAAAAGTCGATTTTCAAAGCTCGACATATTCACATCAACCGGAGAGATCAATTCATGGTAGTTAAACTTTAAAATAATTTTCAATGAATTTTGAAATTGTGGTTCAAGTAAAATAATTTGGAATGTTTTTCCTTAAACCAAACATCGTAATAACATAAAAATTCTGCCAAATATTTTTAATTAGCTCAAAATACTATATACTATTTCAAAAATCATAAAATCTTTAATTAGTCTCAGTATATAGGTAGCTTAGTTGTAACTACTCCTTTAAAAAAAATTGTATTTCAAGTATTTTAGATGACGTAGAATAACATGAGGAACAATTATTTTTTATTAATAAAAAAAATGATGCCCAGACAAAAAATCCACAGAAATTGCAGTGGATGATCAAACTGTGGGAAAAGAGAAAGAGAGGAATATAAATTAAAAATTAAAATTAGCAAATAAAACAACGGAGAGAGAAACCATGTGCGGTTGGCGTTGATATCGATATTAATGATCAATACGATGCATGCACTCAATTTTCCATCACATTTTCTCACTCACCAAACAGGAATGAAAATTTTACTGGCGTAGATTTTAATCTAAATTTATTAATTAAAAATTAAAACATGACAAAAGTTAAATATACATAAAAACATGTTTTGGAATTTTAAATCATTGAAAAAGTACCAGCAATGGAATTCATTTTAAAATGGATATAAGATTAAATTATAATTTTAGTTATTGATTTTCTTAGTACAAGAGTGAGAGATCGAACTCACAACCTTCTGATTGGAGTATATATCCATTATCGCTGAGCTAAGTTGGTAATTTTATAACTATCTCACTTTTGTATTTTAAAGAATAAAGAGTTCTTCAGTGTAGACCAAATTTAACCTCAAAATGTTGGGAACAAATTTAACTTAACCTATAATTTGTTTTGAAAATTTGAAATTACCAAAAACTATTTAAGAAAATATGAAGTAAACGTAGCAGTCGGCATGGCAGCCACGTAATATCTGCTTTTTTCCTCTTTTTTTCACTTCACGGACCGGAGTGGTCCAAGGGCTGGTGAAGTCTTACGTCAACCAATCACAAATTTCCTCGTGTATACAATTTATTATTTTTATTCCAATATTTATTATTGATTTTTCTTTTAGAAAAAAAAAGAAAATTTTCGGTGGGGGTAGGCGGCGTTGAACTCCTTACGACGTCCCGATATTTGCTTTGTATAAATAGGCGCTGTATTATTTTGTGTGCTGTGAAGTGAAGACTGAGAAATTTAGCTCTAAGAATTTGAGGCTATGGCTACCCTAATTGTTCCTCGCGATGTTCCTTCCGCCAATGTCGATGCTGAAGCTCTCAGAACCGCTTTCAAAGGTGATCGATTCCATTTATTCCTCTGTTGAATTTGAAAGTGTCGTTCGGTTTCGTTGATCGCAACGCGTTCGATTCGATTTGTTCCAGTGTCTCTGTTGTGGTTCTGAATCTGTAAGTTTTATCTTCATTCGTAGGTTGGGGAGCCGATGAGAAGGGCATAATCTCGATCCTTGGACATAGAAATTGGATTCAGAGGAGGCAAATCAGGATAGCTTATGAACAGCTTTTTCAAGAAGATCTTATCAAGCGACTTGAATCGGAGATTTCTGGCCATTTCGAGGTTATTTTTCGCTTTGTTTCTTTTTTCGAATCATCATGATCATACTCGTTTTCATCGATTTCATCCGTTACCACTGCCAGCTATTGCAGTCCTGCTCACTGTTTTTGTCTTTTTCGAAAATCGATCTTTCGTCATTATATTCATTCTCCTTGTGTTCATCTGCTCAGTCTGTTACTGCGAAAACTGTTGTAATCCTGCGCTCGTCGATCATCATTACTAGCTTCACCAGTCATGTGCTCTCATTGTCGATCATCGTGATCGTCGATGTCAGATAGTGCCACATCGATGATTATGGCTCCTATTTGGTCTTCCGCCACGAATTTTTTCGCCGAAGTACAAAATAGGATCTACTATAGGTGTTTGTGTGTTAAAAATTTCATAACGATGATCCATCTGGTCCGATTGTTATTGTTCTGGTGGCTGAAGTAGAGTTAAATTGTTTGTGGCTGAAACAGAGAGCGGTGTACCGATGGATGCTGGATCCCGAGGACAGAGATGCTGTGTTGGCCAACATAGCCCTAAGGAAGCCCAAGGAAGATTTCGCGGTGCTTGTTGAACTTTCTTGCATCTACTCTCCTGAAGAGCTCTTGGGGGTCAGGAGGGCTTACCAGCACCGCTACAAGCGTTCTTTGGAGGAAGATGTTGCCGCCAACACCCACGACGATCTGCGCACGGTCTGTAATTCAATCCGCACCCCTTTTGTTAATCTCTCAATTAACTTTGGGTTGGTATATTAATATTCGATAAGATTAAATTAAATATTTATCYACATCTTTTAAATTATGTAATAAAATTAAGCAATGGTACTTGAGAAGTAGAAATGGATTATTATTATTTTTAATTCTTGAAAATGTTCAAAAGTAAAATAAATATAAGAGAATTATAATCTTAAATCTTAATTGAGTTTAGATTTTTTTTATTTATTTGAGACTGAATAAGTAATTGTTTTAATTAAAAAACAATAAGATATATTGTTATCTAGCTTAAATCAATTGTGTACATTTTTTAATTTGAAATATCATATGATGTTTTAACACGACCAAAAACATTAAAAGAAAAATATATGTTATACATAAATATTCTTGAAGTTTATGAATTTAATATAGTCAGAAAATAAATATATAAAAAATTTATGTGATGGTTAAATGAATAATTTCACATTTCATATCGAAATTCATGAGTTAAAATTAACTATATTTAATAAGTAAAAGTATATAATTGATGTTTCATAGTTATGATTTTTTGTTTATGAAAATTCAAACATAGTAGTGACAGAGTAACTTATTTACCCCCACATAGGCACCTACTCGATGTATTATGGTATGAAAGAATTTAGTTAACACTTAAATGCTAAGCATTAATGATACATAAGTTAATGCAATATTAGGAGTAATTAAATGTACACGTGATTACTTAATTGGTAAAAACTTGTTGGTATAAGGAATTCATATCCTTCCATCTTGACTGTCTTCTTCTTCAAGATCGTGATGTTTAATGTACGTACATTGAATAGGATTAGGTTAGGATGGTTAAGAAGTTGTCAATTATTGATGAAATAAAATTGTTGCAGCTGTTGGTGGGATTAGTGAGTGCATATCGTTACAATGGAGAGGATGTAGATCTAAGCCTAGCGAAATCAGAAGCAGAGAGACTTGAGCGTGCAATCAGAGACAAGACCTTCTATCACGAAGATGTTATAAGGATCTTAACCACAAGGAGCAGAGCACAGCTGGTTGCAACTTTCAATCACTACAAAGATTCCTATGGTATTTCCATTTCTAAGGTACAGAACTTGCTAACTAAGTAACACATTGATATAAATTTTGGTCCTACTCTGTTCTTGCTCTTTCTTCTACTGTCCTCTCCTCTCCCAACAAATTGTTATGATTCCTAAAATTCCAAAAACTGACGGTTTTCCAAATGGCAGTTCCACAAGAGAGAAATGTACGTGGAGGATGAGTTGAGTTTTGTAAGGTTGACATCAGGATTATATATTCAATATGCCATTTAACTAAATGCATTGTAAGAGAAACCATATTCTGATAGTGTTGATAGATCATGAAATTTAAGACAAACAACTCTGGATTTGAGCTATGCTGGAGAAAATTTTTTTGGGTCTTTCTTCTCAGAAATTTGAATCATTTGATATTGTAGTCTAAACAAGTGTCACTTTCTTGTAGAAATTGGCCAGTGATGGTTCAGGCAAAGAATTCACAGAAGCACTGCGAACTGTAATCCGATGCTTCGATAACCCTATCAAGTACTATGAGAAGGTGAAGAAACTCTATCGAATTAGATTTATATGCATACGTCTAAATGCGTTTCTATACACAGAAGTTATGCATGAATTTTAGATCTTCACTGGTTTTTAGTTGAAGCTGTTCAATTTGAATGCAACAAATTAATTTGATATTCCTATCTAATTTTTTCCAAAAAGTACAAAGTAGCCACTAATATCATCTTGAATTGAAGACTGTTAAAGAGTATCAGAAGGGAAATATTAGGGATATATTATTATGAGGTTTTCCTTTATCGCTCCAATACTATCTTCAGTTTCACATCAATCTCCATTGCAAAATGGGATTCCTATCAACAACAAAAACAAAGAAGTTCCATAAAAGAAAAAATGGTGATTACAGGTGGTGCGAAATGCGATCAAGAGGGTCGGGAAGAGCGATGAGGATGCATTGACCCGAGTGGTGGTGTCGAGGGCAGAGAGAGACTTGAGGCAGATAAAGGAGGCTTATCACAAGAGGAACAGTGTGAGCCTTGATGATGCTGTGTCCAAGGAAACCTCTGGCGACTACAAGCGCTTCATCCTCGCTCTTCTCGGTAACTAAGCTTATTAAAATCTCTGCTTGTTACCATTAATAATAATATGTTCTACCTTATGATCATCCCATTATGAGTATCTTAATAATCGGCTTTAAGTTCTATGCTATATGCTTTATGATGAGTGTTGTACCCTAGAGCCTTCTCTCTCTGTTTCAAGTACTTGGTTTGGTTTTGTATGAATATGTAGACTTCATTAATTGAGCCCTCGTGTTGTGTTGTGTTGTGTATACTTCTCTGAACTCTGCATTTAAACTCTTCCATAATGTTCTCTTTTAATTAAGTATTTGTTATTAAAAAGTTCTAAAATGCATTGGAAAAAAAAAGTGCATTGTGTTATCTTCTCATTTGTATGCTTCATTAGACTTGGATTCAGCCATGGAAGAGGAGGGGATCCTTCTTGCCATTCCTCGTGGAAAATACTTGATTAGCTAACAAAACTAACATAAAAAAATTTGAAGGGTATTTTTAATTGGTTAAAATTACTTTTTTCCACCTATATTGAGATAATAGAAAATTCATGGTTGATGGATATTTAAGTTCCATGGATAATAATATCCTGAGTTTTAAAAAGTGAAAAAACATGTAGGATATGGTAACTCTTTGTCCTCTCCATATTCCTCATCATAGGAATCTATTCTTTGAACATATTGATTTAACTCTATAAGCGGGATTGGCATCCCGACATAGCATGTTTTCACCTGAATTTTTCGAACATTTTCTATTGGAGTCTAATGGGATGAGACGAGGGATGAAAATAGAAATTGGAAAGAGATGGTGTGGTTGGGGGATTAGAAACAAAGTTGGAAGAAAGTTGGGAGAATTCTTTCTCCGTTCCAGTTCTAAACATGGGTTCTCCCATTAGGGCAAGCCGTGTGAGGACCCAATCCTAACAAATTTTATGATTCCTTAAAAGCTATGAAATATTTAAAAGAAAAATACCTGGCTCCTGGTTTTCGTTTAAAAATTTACAATTCACTATTTTATTTTTTTTAAATACTGAAGACAAATTTATTCTTGATGAGGAGCCAAGTTGTGCATATTGTTTCAGTTGGGGATTCGAACTCGTCTCTAGATTAGACAGAGACATCAGTACCAATTAATGGTTCAGTTAAACTCATGTTGGCTTAATTCTTTCCTATTCTTCATGTCTTCATCAATTATCGCTYATTGAAGACTACTACGAGGTAGGAGAAATAGCACATATAAAATAATCGAACAAACAAACATGGCAAATAATTTTCACAATATTTGGCTTTATTATGGCATAAGAGAAGAACACAGCCCCATAATCATAGAGAACCAAGAAACAAAAGAAACAGCCAAACTCATACATAAATTAAACACAACAAATTTCGATCTTCCAAGTGAAGAAACTGCTATTTCCAAAATGCTCTGTTATAATCAATCCGATCTTGCCAGCAAAGTGAGCAAGAAATCCTTGTAGCTGCCATGGCAAACAGCCCCAATTTTTTCAGCCAATGAAATTCCGAACCGATTTTTGTACTCAACTTTTATTTCCTTCATGTCTTTATCGGCCCTTGTCACGACGATTCTAGTCAATACCTTTTTTATCTTTTTGTCTGCGTCAACTTTCAGTGACACATCCAGAATCTAAGCACAAAATAATATGATGAAATGACATTAATTAGCAAAAAAACTAGGCAAGCAAATTAAAGCTATGAAAAATTTGATCATATTGCAGAGGGTTTGAAATTTAAATACCTGAGTGAAATATTTTACAGGATCAGCTAAGCACAACACCGTCTCTTGAAGCCTCAAATCCTCACGAAGATCCTACCAAGAAGAAAAATAAAACTCACTGAAACCATTTTAAGTGTTCCTTTTGTTTTTAGAATTTCTCAAATTACTTTGATTATCAAAATTTAAAAAAATCTTAATCTTGAAATCTGGACGAGTTCAAGAAAATCTTGAAATCTTCCCTTCTCTTTCTCAAAATTTGATTCCTTTATAAATAAAACTTATTTCTATAAAATTGTCATTATGATAAATATTATTATTAACAACACCTCAATTAAATCAGAGATACTTTTTGTAGGGGGGCCATTAGGGTAGCAGGTGGAAAGTACCTCATCGATGAGTTTGCCTGCTGTGATTTCCTTGTAGTGTTTGTAGAGGGCATGGAAATGGTGTTTGCTTCTTGTTGAGAGTATTCTCACAATGTCGTCTTCTTCTATGAGGCTGCTCTTCCTGCTGGCTGCTTCCTTAATTGCCTGAGCAACTTTCTTTGCTTCTGATTTTGCTGTCTCATCCTTGAACTTTGGCCCTTCGTATCTATATGCACTCATTAATGCAACCAAAAGCTGCATTCCAAAACAACCATAACCACTCAATTACTACATAAAATTTTCTGAAAATTCGTTTACAAAAAAAAGGACCCACTTAACCATCAAATATGGAAAAAGACAAGTGATCCTTAATTAAAATGTTACCAACATGAGCATAACTCAACGGTAATTGGTATGTACTCTTTTCCTTGAGGTCGGAAGTTCGATCTCCCATTCCCAAATTATTGTACTAAAAAAAAGGACCCACTTAACCATCAAATATGGAAAAAGACAAGTGATCCTAAATTAAGTTAGGTCTAACGTTATATATCAACATGACCATAGCTCAACGGTAATTGGTATGTACTCGGGAAGTTCGATCCCCTCTATCCCCAAATTGTTGTACTAAAAAAAAAGGTTAGGTCTAACGTCTAAGTTACATGACACTATTTAAAGTTCCCTAAGTTATTATGAAAGTTAGAGTTTAAGATCAAACTTGAAATTAAACCCAAAAAAGAAAAGGTAATTAAATAGGAAGGAATTCTTTTTCATTCGTGAGGACAAACCTTGCGTTCAGGGCCGTGGATGTGGCTGGCAACATCTTCTTCAATAGAATGATCAAAGAGGGAGTGGTAGGCCTTTCTTGCTCCCAAGAGCTCATCTGATGTTCTGGTGCAGGCCACTTCTATCAGGATGTTTATATTTTGATGATGGTGTCCTTTGCTCAGTGCTTCCTTTACCAGACGAGCATCTCTTTCCCATGGATGTGTCGTCCATAGTACTACAGCATTCTATCATTCCACACACATAATTAATATATCATTCATTGATATCCTCTGATCATCTCCTATATTTCTCGTTTTCAAACCCACACTCAAAATTTTGAACCATCTACTTTATAGCTTAAAAAGAAAGTGCAAACATTTACTAATGTTTTGGTCTCTACCTATATATATATTTTTTGTTTCATTGAATTAACTATTCAATTAAATAATGAGGCTTTTTTCAAGAACATTTCAAAGCAAAAAACCCATGGTAAACGTTAATCTTTTTAATATGATCAAGAAAGATATATGTCTAGAATTAAATTAATAAAAAATAAATTTATGTCACTAGAAAAAAAAATCAAGAATTATTTATCTTATATTCTAAAATTACCTTTATAATTCAAAATTAAAATAAGCCGATAGTATTATGAAAATATATCACATGAAGAAAAAAAACCGAGGCCTACAAAAAAATTGAGAGCTTTAGGTGATCCTATACCTCAGGTAGCTATGTAGTAAAAATATTAGGAAAAAAGCACAAAGTAAAAGTTAAGAAGGCATCTTGATGTGTATTATATATGATTGCATATTGTTACAAGAATTAAAGTGACATTATGTCGAACATAATATTACATAAACTGTTTTATACCTTTTAATTATATATAACTAATATGACCATATTGGATAAGTTTATAACAAATGCAAATACTAAGGTGAAACAAATGGTTATAATAATCAAAATATAAACACTCACAAAGTATTGTATTTTAATTTTTTTTTCAAGATTTTTGAATATCATGTGATTAGTTTCTTTAAAGGAAAATACATAGAGAAAAATGAAATCAATAAAAATACAAAATGATGACACAAATTTTTTTGAAAGATAATAGGAAAAAAAAAAGAATGATACCTTAAAGCGCATGAATTCATGTTTGAGAAGCCGCATGCCATGTTCCTCCCATCGTTCAAACGAGCGTTCATCTTCACTGAAATAATGGCTACTCCTCTTTCTAAATAGTTTCTTTTCCTCGTGATCCCACTTCCCCAATGTCTCTATCATCACCTTCTCATTTATTCCATGCCCTATTTTTATTTTAACATGGGTTAAAATTATGATTCACTCTATGTTCAAAATTAAATTACTAACTTCAATTAAATTCAAAGATATTAATTTTCACAACATCCGTCTACTCATCATCTCGGGATGAGAGAATAAATATCTGATTAGTCGAGAGACTTCCCTTATGCCTGCTTTTTTCCACAGCCACTCCAATCATAGATAAAATACATTAGAAAATATTTGACTCTTCAATAAAGACTTTATGGTCCTAACTATTCTTGAAAAATTCACCACTCATTCTTTTTAAATTTTTATATATTTTCACATTTCTCTTTTAGTTAATTTTTCAATGATKGTTCAAATTTTCAAATAGAGTTCAATTTTCGCCGGCCCCTAGATGCATTGTATTTGCCATTAACCATTAACTAAAAAAGAAAACCATTAAATAGATGGTCAGACTTAAAAGAGAAGGAAAAAAACTCTCATTCTAAATAACACTATTTAAAAAGAGCTACAAAATATTGCTAAATGAAGTGAAATTAATGCGCATGGGCAGAATAGTAATTGTCTTTGAAAAAATAAAGGCTGGAAACAGATTCTGGACCAGCAGAACAGAAATAAAATCTCAGCATAAAAGTAAATAGAACTATAGAAGTGAAAAGTAAATTTCCAATTAAGCCTCCGGTAGAATCCAAACATGACTTTGTGTAATATAGTAAATTTCTGGTGTTACGGTCACTGCATAATCTTCAATCGCGATATTATTTTGTCATTGCACAGCTAGAAGGATAAGCATGTCGAAACGACTAGTACGGAAACAGAGGGGCACTGACGTCCCGCCGCGGCCGGAGATTCTATATTTCCGAATCACGATGAGTAGGGAAAACAGAGAAACGCCGACGTCGCGGCCGGAGATCGTATTTCCCGGCGAAGACCGAAGAGCTTATAGAGTTTTCGCGACGAGTAAGGAAAACAGAGACACTGACATCCGGCCGGAGATTATATTTCTCCGGCAATGACCGAAAAGCCTATGAAGTTTTCGCGACGAGTAAGAAAACCAGAGAGACACTGACATCCGGCCGCAGATTAAATTCTCCGGCGAAGACCGAAGAGTTTATGCAGTTTTCGCGATGAAGATTAAGAAGATCAGAGAGACACTGACTTCTCGAACGGAGATCTTACATAACCGGCGAAAATCGAAGAGTTCATCTAATTTTCTAATCGAAAACTCAAACACATATTTACTCCATATTCTAGATCAATAAAAGAAAGATCGACAAACAGAATCCGATGAATTTAGAAGTTAAGAGGAAAAAGAAAAGGAAACACAAACAACTATGGAAGAGAGCTTGAGAGATTAATGGCAGAGTAATGCATAATTAACCTGAGAGAGCTCGAGTGAGAACTTCAATCGCAGAATCCGCCATTCCTAAATCGCTGTTTCGATCGCAGAAAAAGAAGAAGAAGAAGAAGAATTCCGAAGCAGAAGAAAATCACTCACCCGCCCCACACAATACCCTCATCTGATTCCTCCCGCGTTATAAAACAATCTCCATGTGCCCATTTCCGTAATTTCCACTTCATTTCCCTTTTCCCTAACAACTTTAATTATTTCTTTTTTCAAACAAAAATTAAAAATAAAAAACAAGAATGCAACCTAAAACCAAAAATCCAATCAAACCGTAGCCCTTGGATAGGAATTAAAAGCTGTTTGATTAGATTTGTTTTTTAAAATGGTTAATTTTGATATCAGTTTTTATTTTAATTTTAAAAAAACAAAAATTGAGCTACTGGTACTTAATTAGTACCCAAAACTGAACCACTTTTCAAAATTTATCATAACCAAAAAATGTGTTAGAATTATCTATTGATAAAATATAACACAAAAACATACTTTAAAAGTAATATAAAATCACTTAAGAAAGTTAAATGCTCCCTTCACTTCTTCTTCTCTCTTTTTATTTTTAGCTCGAAATGGTCCCTTTACTAATTTATATTATTTATAGAAATACATTTTATTTTTCAAGACAGAAGGAAAATTATTATTATTTATATYGACAAATTATGGATATATGAATTAAAATAGTGGTCTATTTATTTATTTATATAAAAATTTGACAAAACCACGACAGCTTATTTTGTAATTTATTTCTAATTACTAATTAGAAAAAATATATAAATGACAGAGCGAGAGAGAGAGGATTCGGTTATAAATGTAAGTATTGAATGATATATAAGTTTAAAAAGTTTAAAAACCCGTTAAAAAAACGCTTTTATATATTAATAAATAAATAAATTGCGTGTATTTTAAAAATAAATAAAAACGACGTGCCCAATAAAAGGCTTTTTCTAAAAATTCCTTTCAAATTCATAAATGAACTTTTGTCGTTTGCTTCCCTCTCTTGCAATTCAGTCCTTAGATTTGGGCATTTTACTTTTAGTGCCAAAAAGTCCGTTTGCTTGATTGCTTTCCTCCCTTGAATTTGATGGAAATGACAGAACGACCATAATTTACTTCAAATTTCATTTTGACCCACCAATTTTCCTTTTCCTGCAAAGGGACCCACAAACTTATCCAACCATCAGAATAGCGTCGTGACACACATGCACACATAATCTTTGAATATCTCAATTCCAACCTCATAAAATAAAATATCCAAAAATCTCACTCTCACATTTTTATAATGGTTTTTTTTTTATTTTAATGTCTAGCAATTATTGAAAGCATTATAATATTATAAAAGTAGACTTTGACTTTCTAATAATTTGTTGTTGATTATATATTATATGCTTAGCACAATTGTATTCCATGGTTTTTGTTTCTTTGCAGATGTGAACTGATTATAGTATTGATTTTTTATTTAAAGGCCAAATTAAATTTTTATATGAAATATTAATCCGGCTGGCCATTTTGATAAGTTAAGGGCTATTTGGTAATTAATCCGGCTGGCCATTTTGATAAGTTAAGGGCTATTTGGTAATGTTTTTGCTTGGTTCTTGTTTTATTTTGTGGCTTTTAGTTTTATTTTCTAATAAATAAAAATTAAAGGAGGTTTAGTAATAGTTCCTCTAATTATTTCTGAAAATAAAAAACAGAAACATGTTTATTAAGCCTATTTAGTAACGTTATCATTTCTTGTCTTTTATTTTATATTTTTAAATAAATAAATATATAATTATATGTGGTAACTTTGTTTTTTTATTTGAACATGTGGGATCGGGAGGGAGAAAAGTTGAAGAGGAAAAAAATCTTAGAGAATGGAAACCAAAGTTCTAGACAGATAAATAAATTGAGATGGAACTAAAAATTTAGGGAGAGATTAAAAAAATTTTAGAGAAATAAAAAAGTAGAGAGAATAAACAAAATTAAAGATAAATAAAGTTAAGGAATGGCAAAAATTTAGAAATAAAAAAAAATGTTCTCAAATTTTAGGATAAAAATGAGGTGAAATAGAAAGACTAATTTGAAATTTAAAACAATAACCATCTTAAAATTTACTTTTCTATTTATTATTAATTTTTATTTACCAAAATTCACTTGAAAATCCTCTCCCAAGGAATCACTTTTTTTTTTCAAAATCATTCGAGAATTATTGTCACATCATTTTTAAAATGATAATGATTTTGACAAGACATGTTAAAATCACTATCAAACATGTCTTAATTATAATAGTACGATGTTTGAGCCAATTCGAATCTAATTCAACTGGTTAAGTCATGTATCATCGACCAAAAGATCGTGCATTCGAACTCTATCCCCACATGTTGTTGTATTAAAAAAAAAGTACTACGATGTAGGATAAACTTTAATAAAAACAAATAGCAAAGCTTCTAGAAGTGGACGGACTGTAGCAACTAAAAATATAATTTAACATTTTTTTATTCCATTTATTATTTAAAATGTTAACTAACATATCATAAATTAAAACATCGTGGGAAGCTCCGGAAGAATTTTGTATTTCATTAGCTCAAATCAAATTCTTCACACGCAAACTATAATTGTATTAAGTTTATCTACGTGTCATTCTCACCTATTGTTTAAATTATAATAAATAAGAATAACGTGACCTCCTTTTATATATATATATATATATATATATATATATATATATTTCAACTATATGAAAATGGAACTTTAAATTTTTGATTTTTTATCGTATATTTTAATAAGTTAAACTATACTATAATTAATGTGGCTTTACCATAGATATTAGAGGGAAAAGATAGGTATGGCAGAATTTTTCACCGTTGATGTATCATATGCTATTCTTTTGTACTAACAATATTTTTATCCGAAGATCTTTGCAAACATCTATATGTGAACTCTATAATTGAAAAAAATATATTATTTTTTGAATATATTTTTAAGTTTTAAATATTCATTTATTTGATCCTTTTAATTTCTTGTAGATCATTAATAAAGTTGGTTGGCATATCATGTCGAATGTGAATCCCTCTCTCTTGTGATAACATAGGTATGATATTGTAGAACACATAATTCATCGAAGAATGTCAAATTACCTCCTCATTTTTTTTACCCACTTTTCTTTTTTAAACCTAGCTAATTTATTAGGGTCAAACCAACCGAGCCAAACTACCTGACCGGTTCGATCAAGTCGATGGAATCAAACTCGGTCGAGCATGATCTACCTGAATCAACTCGAGGAGATTCTCCCTATAAATAAGAGAATATGTCTGGAACGTGAACTGCATTGACACAATCCCTACTAGCTACTACTATCAACGGAATCATTTGTCTAATTTACGCATCGTCGATCTTAATACCACACCAATATAAAGATCTCTTTTATGCAGGTGTTCATCGGAGCATTTGATGTGGGAGTCGATATCCAAATTCTACATCAACAATGGAAATAACTCCATAGTTTGAAACATCTCAAAGTTTCTTTTAAAAAAAACTCATATTTCCACCTATACCACCCCATAAATATTTCTATTTTAAAATTTTAAATTTGGCAGATTATATAAATCATACAACTGCACTTCCAAATTAAAAATTAAAAATTTTCATATGATGTAAAAATTTATTAAAAGACGCTAGCTATGATAACAATCACACTATAGTTAGACTTTTTATTTTTTTTATGTTTTTAATTTTTAGAAAATGAATCTCTTTAATATTAAAAATTTTCAATAAGTTCAAACAAGAGGCTTGAGCTTCACGTGGGTTCTGTTTGGTCTGCTTTTTCCAAAAGGCAAAGCTAGTGATCGGAGTTTTGTCATTTTGAGACTGTCATTCGTTTTCAAGTTAAAGTCGTCTTGTTCATTGTTCTTCTTTAGAAAAGAAAAATTAAAATAAAAAAGTGGTTTTTCTTTAATTTCCTCAGATAATAATTATTGATGGGCTCCGGCTCTTCAGTGCATGTCACGACATGTCGGAGAGTCATCGCTTCAATTTTGTCCGTTCCCGATTTGTAGTTTTTCACATGGGATATAATAATATTTGGCTTCCATGTTTTTGGCCATTTTTCCCTTGAAAGGAAATATTTCATGCTCGAGTCAGATTTGTTCAACCATTTTTTTCTCGAATTTTAACGCAATATTTACTCTTGTAATAGATTATCGAACCATTAATCTTTTATAGCTTAGTGTCAAAAAGCTAAACTCATGTGATAGAAGAAGAAAGTAAAATAATAATAGAGAGAAAGGAGATATCTATTGAGCCTAATTTAAAAACTTTTCTATGGCATCGACTGTATTGATGAGATGATTAATACTCATAACATAACTGTTTATTTTGATTTATATACACTTTTCCACATGTGAGATTCATCGATACAATTAGATAGGTGAGGCGTGACTCACAGCAATAAGACCTTTTTTCATTTATAAAGTAAGAATATATAATAAGTGGTTGAGTTCTATATCAAACTAAAAATGACGTCCTCTAGATAAAATAATAATTGACAGAGCAAAACTTTCTATATAACATAAAGTGAATTGGTGAATGACTATTTAGGATGAGATTTAAGGGTCATTTTGGGTTGAAGAATAATTTATTCATCTTTAATTCGGTATTAGAGCGAAATGTCACGTGTTCAAATCTCTGTATTGTTGTAATTTCTTCCCCATTTATAATGATTTTCATTTGATGGGTATTGTATAATTATCTAACCCACAAGTGAGAGGAGTACGCGTTGAGATATTTATATATGAATTAAAGATCTATGACAGAGTAAAAGTAGTAATAGAAATTTATAAAATTTAATTTGGTACCAATATGTTTAAAATTATAAATTAATTTAAAAGGTCTAATTAATTTTTAGCAATGTGTCAAAATATTATTTTAAATATTGTCCATTATCTCAGCTAACAAAAGCTTGTTTAGTGTGAACTCAAAAAAAAAAAAAAAGTTCGTTTGGTAGATTAGAAGTTTAATCTGTCTTTCTATCTTTTCATCAAAATCATCTCTCGGACTACAAAATACTTAACTTGATAAATAATCGTTTATTTTTAAAGTATTTCAAAAGTTCAGTTTGTTTAACAGCAATTTATTTATTTGATTTTGCATTCTTTAAGAATGCTTTAAAAACTTTTAACTAATTTAAAATTTTATTTATTTGTTTTTTTAATTGGATAATAAAATACACAAAACATAACTTTGCTTCCCAGACAGCCAAACTTGAAAATATGTTCAATTAATGCTGAAGACAAATATGCAAAAAGAAAATAATAATTAATAATAATAATAAATATCATTCCTAACAACCACAGGAATAATGACAGGCAGATAAACATCCAAATCTCTATGAGAGAGAGAAAGAGGGGAGGGATGATACTTTTTTTTTTCTTTAATACAACTTGGCGGGCGTAGGGGATACAACTCACAACCTTTTGAAAATACATGTGAATTACTATCGAACTATGCTCGTTTTGACAAGGGAGAGATGAATTTATATTTATTTTGTGTAATAAATTTATATATTTTTATTCAAGCTATCCTAGAATAAGAAAGTTGATTTATCATTAAAATGATAAAATATTTTGCATTTCAAGAACATAATTGCCACCAAACTAATAGCGAAAAAAAGTAAAATAGATTATGGATAAATTGTTATTATAATTGGAAAAAATATAGGAAGAGTCGTAGATGATTTAAAAGAGAGGAAGCGTGAGAATCTAGTCGGGTTAGAAAAGAAAGTAAAAAATGAAAGAGAGATGGAGAGTTAACTAGGTATTAATTAACTCAAATTTCACTTATACAAATAATTCAATGGTAATTGACAAATGTGTCTAACAATTACCTCATGAGTTGGAATCTCTCTTATTTGTTTGTTGTACCCAATAAAAAATTATTTTTCTATTTGCTATAAAAATAAAAATTATGTATTAATTGTGTAGATAAATAAAATCCCGTCAGATCCTTTATAAAAACTCAATGGGAATTAAAGAAGTAAAATAACTTTGATTCAAAAGTTGAACTTTTAAGAATTACAAATAGAACAAATACAAAATTTAACTCGTCAAATAGAATTTAAAAAATTAACTAATCARATAAATAAATATATATATAATAAATAAAAATATTAAGCTGTCAATATGAGTATAAAACAACAACCAACGATAAAGACACCCACATAAACATAGCTGAAGTTAATAAATTCCTATTAAGTGTTCTTGTAGTTATGGTTCTAAATATCATCGATATGTTGACATTTCCATCGACATATCAATATTTACATGGGTTCGACATCAACATAAGGAGTAAATCGACATTTTTATCATAGTAAAAGAAAATTGACAAAATATGAAAAATATAAAAAATATATACATAATATTAATATTAATTATTTTAAACTAATTTAGAATAGAAAAATATTTATTTGTTAATTTAAGTATTTTTTACGATTTTTTATTTTTTCTAACTTTTACARAAATATCAATYGACATCGACATTTTGTCGATATTTCCATAAAATTGAGACATCCACATTTAAAATTAGTATAAAGAAACCAACCATTCTTTTAGAGTTATTAAAATATATATATTTATTCTTGTTGAAAATTTAAATGCTCACTGTATTAAAAGAAAATTCTTTTGAATTATTTCAAACAATAGTAGTTATTGCATCAACTCATTACAGCTGGCTCCAACGCTCAACGTTAATGATAACGTCTAATCATAAACGTCTCCGTCCTTGATTTTTCTTGTTGGGAGATTGGGGGCTCAAATTAACGCCTCAAGGAAAACGTGGCCGTCCCATCTGTTACTTTCTTTGCAATTCAGTACACAACTTAGCCGAAACTAATTTTCCACCCACCGCAATATTCTACAAAACACGGTACCTTCGTGTAATTTCCTAGATATCAGGGGCTAAAACAATAAAAAATAATTTACGCGGGGCCTTCTATGCAAACATCAAGCGCGGGAGTTTTCTGAAATTATCCGACAGAAGGGTATTTTCGTCAAAGCGCAAAAAATTTACAGAATGGCAAAATCTGCTATATTGCGTTTTCAGCGAAGTTCGAGGGAGGCAAACGAAACGGAAAAGAGAGAGAAGAAACAAAATTACGTTATACAGAGCTCTAAAAATGAGCAGTTTCTCGTTCAAGAGTTTCTCGTGGAGGAAATCGAAATCGTCGAAATCGGATTCCGGCCATTCCTTATCGCCGGAGGAGAGGTTTCTGACGGAGAATATGGGAACTCTGAGAGTGCCGGAGATCGTTCCTTCTCCCGCCGAGGACTGTGATAGGCTGAAGAAAGCTTTCGATGGTTGCTCTCTCTCAACTCTTCAACATTTCGATTCTGTTTTTCTCGCTAATTTTTTTGTTTGAATCTTTAAGTTCTTCTCGATATTCCATTAATTTAACTCTGGATTCTGCTTCTGCATGTTTTTTCTTTTTCTGATTGATTTTTATGCTTGAAATTCGATGTAATGCGTTGATTTTGTTTGAGCTGGAGCCGTCTTTATTTTTCTAATTAAGCTCTATCTTCACTGGACTTCTCGTGGAGTTCCTCTGCTCTTGGCTACACGGCAATGTTGAACTTTTCTTTTTTAGTCTTTTTTTTTTCGTAATAATTGTTTATTTATTTAAATCCAGGGACGTCATGTTTTTGTTTTTAGTTTTATACTTTTTTAATATCCATTTCTCTGTGTTATAATATTATGAAATTTTAGATCAACTTTAAGAAAGAATAAAACAGTTAAAAAAAATTATTTATTTATTTATTTATTTTTAATTTAACTAAATTGTTTAGAAACTTTTTAAAATGTGATCAGACAGTAAAGAAATTATCAGTAAATAAGCTTATTTTAAAAATACAAAATTAACACTCTTATTTATTTACTTTCAGTTTGTTCTTCTAGGCATATTGAGGTCTCTGATGTATACTTTTCATTGTGATTGTTTGTGTAATCGAAATTAGACAATGTCAAAATTTCCATTCATTCATTCATTCTTCTTGGTGCATCCATTGCTCAGAATCAAGATACTACAATAGTCTTCTTTGAGCTGGAACTTATTATTATTATTTTTTAAAAAAAAGTTATTATAAATTTAAGAATATTCGATTTTCTGTCCTCAAGGATCATCTGTAATTGGAGCTTCAACATGGTTTTCTTCGTGACATTCATCTCTTTACTTATTATTTTACCGCAGTACTATGGCATTAATTCTGTATATTCTTCTATAATAATTAGTTGAGCTCACTTGTGTAATTTTCATTGTGTGTGACTTTGTACCTTAACCAAACTTTATAAATGGAAAAATTTTACTCTCTTTCTCTCATTGAGTTGTTCTTCTTGTCCTAGTCCGTTTATTGCTCTAGATCAGATACTCTCTTCTTCAGTTTTTCTAATATTCGAGTTGGGCTGCTGTTGTTAGAGTTATCAACAATCAAGTTTCTGTATAGTTTGCTTCCTAGTTTGACTATAATTCCAAAAGCTATTTTGAAAGTAGATAAAAAGATGCAGGAGGTTAGCAGACAAAAACAAAAACGTCGGCCCTTAGTTTTTCTTCTAAAATTGATTTGCTGTCTGGGATTCTGATGCACTTTTTCCCATCATTTCGATGATCCCCGACATCATGGAGGTCACCATCACCAACATCAAAGACTTCTAATTTTCATTCTTCTTATTTTGTTGATGCGTGATTATTGTTTATGTTGTCTAATTCTAACACTATTTCCTTGTAATGACTTAGGATGGGGAACGGACGAGAAGGTATTGATAAGGATATTAGGACAGAGAAATGCAGCCCAAAGGAAGAGCATTAGGGAGACTTATCATGAACTATACAAGGAGTCGCTCATCGATCGCATCAACTCAGAACTCTCTGGTGATTTTAGAGTATGCTGATTGCTCTTAAGTCTCTACATTTGCAGCAAATAAATATTTTCCCATTTATCAATCACACTTCACAATCATAACTAATTATAATTCTTAGTTACCAGAGTCTTAAGTTTCATTGGCATTTAGAAGAAGCAAATTTCTTTCATTGTTTTGATGCTTGTTGTTTCGTAATGGACTATTAGTTCCACATATGTAGTCAAATAATTTGTGTGTTGTTTATTTTCTGCTGTTTGTTTCTAAGGTTCATGATAAGTATATCTACTGTGGCCTTTTTTGGTTCCCTCACGCTTTTGGATGTGGAAATTTTGATGTTCAAAGAGTTGGTCATTGAAGTACAAAAATGAAAATGAAAGTTAAAGCTTAAATTGAGAGATTCAATCATGTCTAGAAGTACTTTTTTTCCTTGGGAATCTCTAATTTCAAGGTTTTTACGAATAGAAAGCGGCGATTTTGTGGGCGTATGATCCTACAGAGAGGGATGCGAGATTGGCAAATGAAGCTTTGAGGTCACATAGGAAAGGCATCCATGAGCTTCAAGTAATTGTTGAGATAGCCTGTGCCACATCTCCTAACCATCTGATCGCAGTAAGGCAGGCCTACTGTTCTCTCTTTGATTGCTCACTTGAAGAAGACATTTTCTCCACCATCTCCATGCCCCTTAGAAAGGTAAAGTGCCAAAAACGTATCTCGTAGGCTCAAATTACTTTAGATATGGGCTTGACTTGTTGATTGAGTCGTGTAGATTAAAGTCTGTTTGATAAATATTTAGTTTTTGGTATTCTGTTTCGAACCAAGAAGCATATCTGCTCCCATCTTTTGGTTTTATTATTTACTTTTTACAAACATTTTTCAAATCCTAGCCAAATTTTAAAAACTAGAAAAAAAACACTAGTTTGGTAGCTTTTTGCCAATGATGCTTGGTGCTGTAAGACTGATGTAGATAAGTTGCATGGAAGTGAGTGGTTCATGGAGACATTGTAATTTGACAAGATGCAAAAAATCATTACATGGATAGAGTTACAATGCTGAAATAATTTTCTGAGAGGCTCACCATTTTGCTCGGTCGAGTTTGAACCATGGCAACCGCACCGAGAGTCCTCCTTGTATCAGTTTGCTCGGCATTTTCAAAAAAGTTTTCTTTCTTTGAAAAACTTGAAGAGATTATTCATTTGCAACCTTGAAAAACCTTTTGTTTTGGATATTGTGTAGCTTCTAGTTGGCCTGGTGAGTTCCTTCAGGCATGATAAAGAAGTGGTGGACAATGTTGTTGCCGATTCAGAAGCGGATTTATTACACAATGCTATCAAAGCGAAGCAATTAAACCGAAGTGGCGTTGTTTGGATACTCAGCACAAGGAATTTCTTTCAGCTTAGAGCAACCTTTGCATGCTATAAGCAAAAGTATGGAAATCCTATTGACCAGGTTCAGCCTTTAACAACAATTGATATGTGAATCTTTCTTATATATATTTGTTTTCATTTACCCTCTTGCAAGCTCAGTTATACATTATTTCATTTTCAGGACATTATGAAATGTGGAAGCAGTGATTTAGAATCTCTCTTCAAAGTGGCGATCTGGTGCATTGAAACTCCTGAGAAACACTTTGCAAAGGTGAGATGTTCTCTATTTTGTATTCTTTTTATTACAATTCATTCTTAGAAATTCCTTTCATGGAGAAAAATGAAGAAAAGAAATAGATGAACTAACTATCTGTTTTTTGTACAATACTTCCAAGTTCCATCACCTTGCATGGAAATAGAAACTGATATTYCCTTTGTAAAATTTCCAGGTAATCAACAAGGCCATCGTCGGGCTCGGAACCGACGAAGATTCCCTAACCAGAGCGATAATAGGTCGAGCTGAGATAGACGCCATGAAAGTTAGGGAGGAGTATTCGAACATGTTCAAAAGCAACCTCGACAAGGATGTTATCGGCGACACGTCTGGGGACTACAAGGACATGTTGATGATCTTGCTTGGAGCTAAAGTTTGATTCTTGCCAATCTCTCTTTGCTTCTTGCATTTGTCTTCCTCACTGCAAATTCCATGTTTGGTTTTGGGTTATTTGGCTGTCGGGTGTTGATTGTAGGCCTTTGAATGAATAACTTGTTCATTATTGTATTGTATATATGTTTGAAAGATTGACTTTTTTACCCCTATTGATCAAGAAATAAAAAATAATAAAAAAATTTACCAAAAAAAAAGGAAGAAATAACAATAAAAAGACCATAGATGACAATTTGTAGCTTGTGGCTTTTTTTTCTCTTTCTTTTTTCACAAAGATGTGTGATTTTGAATCAGGCTTGCAGGGTTGAAATAGTGAGAAGAAAAGAAAGATGCATTATTTGGAATCATTTAAAGCTTTCTACATTATTATTATTATATATATATATATATATATATAAGAATTTAGGTGATTTAACGTAGCTTCTCATTTAAAGCACTTTTTACAAAAGAAATTTCTTAAGAACTTTCTTATAAAAATAGTTTTAATTAAAATATTTGTCTGTTTGGTTACAATTTTTTAGAAGTAATTTTAGTCACAAATTTGTTTGGTTGGATTATTTCAAAAGTAATTTTTATTTAGGTTAGAATACTATTTTGATCTCTCTACTATTAATTTTTGTAAATTTTGATTAATGTACTTCCAATTTATATTTATTTATTTTTGTTTTGGTCGTGGCACATTTTAAGAGTGATCATTTAAGTTCTTCATTTTATTTTTATCTCACTTTTTAAAAACACAATTTCAATGGATTCTACACTCAATGTATTTTATATTAAGGAGCTTTCAATACATATAGAATTTATGTTAAAATTTTTTCCCTTTTAAAAATATAAGACCCAAATGAAATATTTTCAAATTACATTAACTAAAATAAACCAAAATGAAAATTTGAAGATGAGCAAAATCGGGAGCAATCCTGTTTCTACCGGTTGCTCTCGATTTTGCTCATTTTCATCCATCACTTCCTTCTTTGAAGTTGGAAAAAAAGGCAATTTTAAGTGCTGAATCTTGCCCTAACGTCTCTTTGCTTCTTGCCTCTGTCTTTCTCACTGCAAATTGAAATTGCATGTTTCGATTTTGGCCTTTGGGTATTTGCTTAGAGGATGTTTATGGAATAAATTTAATTATAGGAGCTTGGGACTGTTTCACCTTTTTTTCTTGTTAAACATATTTGATTGCCCTTTTAAGTAGAGAAAGTTATTAGATGCTGGTCTAGCTATTAATTTCTTTTGTGCCAATAGGAAAAATTATTAATGCAGCGGCCTCCCCAAATAAACTCTCCGTCCTAGTGTTGAAAGAGGGCCACCATCTATCTATCAAAAGAAAGAGACGAATACTCTTAAACTTTTCGGGTCATTTTGAATCACTTATTGTGCAAATTGAGTCCTTTTCTAACCACAACTTGAACATCAATTCATCAAGATATATATCAATGACTAAAAGGTTGTGAATTCGAATCTCCATCACACATGTTGTTCTACTAAGAAAAAATCGTCTTTCTAACTATTTACATACATATAAATAAGAATTTATTTATTTCCGATCAAATGACTTACAAATTGGCCAAACATAATTTAAAGATTTTTATCCGAACCCAATATTTTGGAAGGCTAGAAGATATTAAAACTTTTACAAAGTCCGTTTTCTTCTCAATGTATGATATTTAACAAAAATTTTATTGAAAAAAGGGGGTAGTTGGAAATAAAATCATAATGAATCTTAAACCAAAAAGGAGGCTAAACCAAACAATTATTTGAAGGCCTTCAAAAAGTTTAATAAATTTATAGCAGCATTTAACACAGCTCCCAAAGTAGTTGCCCCTCAAAATGCCTTCTAACATGAAGCTTATATAATACATGTGGATATGTAAAGCAAACTCATATCTCAAAAGCACTTTTGGAAATAAGCAAATTTGGTTGTGCTTTTCACTGTCTCTCTCTTTTGGAATGAAGACTGCTTACATTTTTCTGGGCATTCTCCTGTCCTTGCTTTTGCTTCTCAATTTCTGCTGTGCAGCAGAGCAAAATGTTGCTGAATTCCAGCCAGGCCAAGGTGTATTTTACTTTTCTATTTCTTTTTCTTTCGCATTTTTAGGCTTATTTGCTTTATAATAGAAGTGAATTGTTTGTTCCATTGGTTTTGAGATGCAACTCTATGAATATTGAAATGGTATTATAGTCCAAAAGCTCAAACGATTTTTATTTTGAGGGCATGCTAAGGATCTCACATTGGTTTATAATAAATATGGACTAGTTCTTTCATTGTTAATTGGTTTTGAAATAGAACYGATAGTTTTATACCACCCCTTTTAATAATGAAAATTGTTTGAACGCTGGCCACGACACTTAATATTTAAGCCCACATGCAAAAAGGAGTGTCCGAGAATCCTACGTTTTTCTTCACTATAGCACTAAAACATGTAGTTTTTGGGTTTGGCAGTGATTTAGCGACTTCGATTTACGAGACTAAAGCAAGTGACACTGTATATTTTGTAGGTGGTGGTGTAAGAGCCAAAAATGGAGAAGAAGGGCAAGAAGAGAAATTCAAGTTTCTCCATCACCACAAGCCATACTTGAAGAAACCATTCTATAAGCCATTTCCATTCAAGCATCCATTTTTGAAGAAGCCAATTCCCCATCACCCATTCCTCAAGAAGCCAATTCCAAAGCCTTCAGTCTTCCCCACCCATCCTTGAGAAGAAAATACCCTCACTTACTAAAGAATGAAAAAATGAAGACAAGAAGAGAATTTTATATATTTCAAAAAGAAGGGTCAGTTATATGAATGTTGTTTTTATGTCAATGGTGGAGTACTTGGATGTGGTTGATATTTAATATCAGTGTTAATTTCAATTATGAAGGATTTAGTTTCCGTTTCTATTTCTTGTTTCTTATTTTTCGTTTTCAGTTTTTGATAAACATCAACGTTCGGTAATTGTTCCTGATATATATAGAGTTTCAATTCCATGGCGTATGCTCTTATATATATAGTTTACAAGAGATGTCGGGCATCGATTCAATATTTTAAGCAGAAGAATGTTACGTCGAGAACCTAAGAAGCTTAGATTGATTATTTTAAATAGAAGAACGTAAAGTTGAGGATTTAAGAAACTTTGATTTAAAAAAACCTATGTTTGGAGTCCCAATTTAGAAAAATTGTGAGCGAGCAAATTTGAGAGTAGGTTTGAGGTACTATAGACATGTGAATTTGTCCAACAAACTCATGAAACAAACATAGATTTAACCAATTTAACCTTGTAAGTCATACGCCATCCGAAATTCAAACTCTCACCTCAAACGCCCCCATTAGGCGAAAAAAAAAGCATCATTTTCCACATAAAATGCTTGAAATCCACACTATGGCACAACATAAAAACTATATAATATTCCTTCAAAACTTGAAAAATTATCAAAAGAATCTGAAAAATTAATATAAAAATAAATAAAGAAATGCCCATATTCTACCACTAYTCCATCAGCRTAGAATTGAATTGGCCTATAACTATGAAAAAAGAGGTTAGTAAATGGTGTTAAAGTTTAGGTTAAAGCTGGTGAGATTACCAACTCTTAAACAGACACCCATTAATTTTAAGTCATTTGAAAAGTTAAAAACCCATGAATTTTAGCAGGTCACACACAGCCTTCAAAGTAGCTGTCAAAGCACACACAGACCACACTATAAAATGGGAGCAGTATGGGAAGTGCTGAGCAAACCCATCACAAAAGCCTTCTCAGCCAAAGCACTTCTGAAGCAAATTTTGCTCTCTTTTTCAATGAAGACTTTTTTCATCTCTCTGGGCATCCTACTGTCCTTGCTTTTGCTTGTGAACGTCTGCAATGCAGCAGAGAAAAATGTAGCTGAATTTCAGCCTGGCCAAGGTACTTTTCACTCTCTTTTGGGGTCATTTTCAGTCATAAATGCTTGTTTTGCACAGCCCCTTTTGAAGGAAATCACTGTTCTGTTCCCTAGTACAAGAGCCGAGGAAACAGTAAGTCAGTGACTAAATAACATTTTTCTTCATGCAGATGCTGATGATATAACTAAAAATGGAGAAGCAGTCCAAGGAGAGAAATTCAGGTTTCTTTCTCACCACAACAAACCACACTACAAGAAGCCCTTCTTCCAGCAAATTCCACACCCCATTGTGAAGAAGCCAATCCCTCATCACCCAATCCTCAAGAAGCCACTTCCAAAACCACATTTTCCACCATTCTTCCCCACCCATCCTTGAAACTATCCTCACTCTTACATGCTTTGGAATAAGAACACATCTATTACCCTCAAGCTTTAGCATAGTGTCATTTTAGAAGTAAGCTTATGAAAGAAGCCTTCATGGCTAGGGAAACTAGAATTTGTTTTCTAAGGGGAAAAATAAAGAGGGAGTGAGCTTCTGTTACTACTAATCACTTATGTAGGTTAAAAGTGATGAGGTTAATGATGCAATATAGCAATAAAATAAACATTGTTGTGTTTTGTGTGTATCTTGATCCGTGATGTATTCATATCACCTTCACTATAAAGTTTCATGCATCTCCAATTTAACTGTTTGGAAGCCAATTTTTAGAAACGTCTTACAATCATTTAAACCAATGGTGGATGGCTTCTGAATGTTAYGGTTATCATGAACTTATTTCCGAAGAATTCGAACAAATCTAGTTGTTCTAGAAAATTAAAGGAAAACTAAAGCAAGACAAGTTATCAATGAGAACAAACTAGAAAAATGTAAGTAACTTCTAAAAAATAGTTATCAAACATGTTTCAATTTTTAATAATAGTTCCAAAATAGTCCTTAATGAGTCTATAAAAATCAATGTGAAATGAAAACTTTGATACAAGTACAGACATTATAATTCTCATAATTCTGCACTCAAATTAGGATGAACTTGGTATACTGCTATGGGAGAATATGAACCTAATATCCTCGCACAATTAACATATTACTTCATTTATTTTCCTTTGGAATACAAGATCAATTCTGATGAGGTTAATCTTAATTATAATCATAAAGAATATTTGGCACCAATAACTAAAAGCTTTTTCATCTGTCCCCGAACCCAACCAATTAACAGGAAAGGATATCTATCAGCAATTAGATAACAGCCATGCATTTTCAAAATCAGAAGATAAATCAAAGAATAATGAGAAGTTGGCTTTCTTTATTTCAGTCGTCAAATGAATTATTATATAAATCACAAACCCCGACATGGCAAATTATAGAATAGAACCTTAAATAAAAAAAATAATAATAAAATAAAGATAAAGATAAAGGGAAGAAGAAGACGGAGAAGATATGGATCACTCCCATGCAAGAGATGAGACACACAAAGCTGGTTGGGAAAAGGAGGAATGCGTGACAGCAAGATTCTGGTGGAACATGAGAATTTCCTTCTTCTGCTAACATATGGAAAAGTGTTCACAAAATATGAATGTTAATGAAATTCAGTTATGAAAGGGATAATACTCCTCCAAGGAGAAGAATGGAAAATATGAAGAGAGCATTGGGAAGTCTTCTAGGCAAGTTTGAGCCAGATTGGAAGATCATGAAAGATTAGGGCAGAGTCTTTTGGCATGTTTGTTCTTTTACCGTCTTATTCGATATTTGACTAGAGAGGAATAGTAAAATTTTTAGAGAGGTTGGAAGGTCCTAGGAAAAATTTTGGGATATTGTTAGATTGAACACCTCTTTGTGGGCTTCAGGCTCTAATCCTTAATCTCGTGGACTTTCTGTAATTACCAGTCTCTTGGACTTTTCTGTAATTATCAGGTTAAGTTCTTTGGATTAAAGTTTTTCTCCATTTAGCTAGCTCGTGTTTGGACTCCTTTTGTGGGGATGTTTTTTGTATACCCTTGTGTATCTTGTGTATTCTTTCATTTCTCTTGATGAAAGCTCAATTTCTCTCTCTCTCTTTTTTTTTTTTTTAACAAAATGATAGATAGGAAATTAAATTTTTTTTTTTGGATGAGAAACAACACTTTCATTGAGAAAAATGAAAATAGATACAAAAGAACAACACGGGCATACAAAAAGACTGCCCAGAAAGAGCGAGCCCCATACAGAAAAGGACTCCAATCCAAAAGAATGAGGCCTAACTAGATAAGACATTTAAATAAATCGATAATGAGTTGATCAAACGTATTATCATCATCATATGATACAGAAGATTAATGTCATTTGAGCACAACTTACCGGTTAAGACATTTTCATAAGTTGTAGGGTTCAAATCCCCACCTCATTATAATGCTATATTCTAAAAAGAGAGAGATTAAAGTCCAAACATTATGCTGCAAGAAGTTAGAAAATATCCAATGATAGGATTTCAGGAAGGAACACAACCTTGAATGAAGCCAACCTTCAAGTGTTCATGAAACACTTCGAGACATTTTCAACCATTAATGAGCCAGTCAGTTAATGGCTAGGAGAGGATTCTGCTAGCTGTCAAAAAAAGTTGTAAGTTTTAACATCCATCTTTTGTTGTAAAGAAATAATCTTTATCGGTGTTCCAATCAGAATTTCCAGTTCTAATTCCTTGAAACATGAAGTAAAGAGGAGTTAAAATTAGTTTATGATCTGGTTTTCTATTTTCTGATGGATATGACTTCCTTTTGACTATCATTTTGTCAGGATTCATCTTAATAATTACCTCAATTATCTTGCTGAGTGTCCCATCTGCTCGGACTGTGTTCATTCTCTAGCAGACTGTTTCTAAATACACATTTAGTTTCGAATTCAATAAAGCAAACCTGAAAACTACGGTTCAAATTATTATGTTAGTAGAATGTTTAACTTCTCTCCAAATTTTTTTCAACATSTCAGCTATAAGAAGCCAACAAACATCTCCTCATKCTAAAGAATAGATACTTCTATGCTTAATGTAAGAAAATGAAAGGTATTTGGGTGCCAAATCCTTTTATTATTTCATAGTAAGATATTCATTTCTCATTTCTCTACACTTAAATCCTTACTTTTCAATAGTTATTCTGTTATGTAATTTCTTATATATATATATATATTGAAGAAATTTTTCATTATAAATTCTATGAGTGTGTTCTGTAGGATTGAAGTTGATTTCCTCGTGGCCATATCCATCAGCATTACTACTATGGGGGGCTCTGCAAAGTATATTTAGCAGAGAAGATGGAAATTGTGCAATAGTTGTCATTACTTCAGAACTGTCCCTTGAAGAGGTCAAGAAACAGAGAGTGAAATGGAGGCTAATCAGTTAGCATTAATTGAGCTCAAAACCAAGTATAAGATTTTTAAAACAGTATTTTGCATACTTTGTTAACTTTAATACTTAGTATTTATCTCCGTCTTCTACTTTCGTTGTTAGTTTATCTACAAGCCATCTTTTATAGTATTTTGATGAAGTAAATAAGAAATCCTACCTATTTTTTCTCATCTAAGACCCACCTGTCCAACAAATTAATTGGCCACCAGATTTATGCTATTCATCAGAAAGCCTACTAAATCGAAAAAGCATATTCAAAGCACATATACCTTTCTTAAGTTATTAAGACCGTATCCTGTTTACTGGGCATCTTGCTGTCCGTCCATGATTTTGCTTGTCGATATCTGCAATGCAGCAGAGGAAAAGATGCTCAATTTCAGCCTAGCCAAGGTATTTCACTCACTTTTATTTTTCTACAACTTCCAAAATATAATTTTAGTTTAGCATTATCCTTAGAAGATGGAAATATCTGTAACATCAATATTTGAAATCCAACCTTTCCTTATGCAGGTGCTGATGTAACCAAAAGTGGAGAAGACGACTAAGTAGAGATATCCAGGTTCCTGGCCATAAATCATTCTTCAAGATGCCCTTTCTGACGCCAATTCCACCAAAATTCCCAGCCAAGGAGCCGTTGTCCAAACCAGAACTTCCACCAGTCATCCCCAACTACCCTTGAAAATGCACTCAGTTTGATATGCTAAAAATATGTATTATGATAATCAACCTTCAGTGTAGAAATTATCATGAGCCTTTACAGGCCGGAAGTCATTGAGAAAAGAAAATCATGAGAGAGCATTTATTATTTGTGCCTAAAAAATATCGTGTTGGTGATGCAATGCAGCTATTAAGTTAAATATACATGTTAATATTACTTTGACTATAGAAGTTTCTACATGGTTCTTCATATTGTAAGGYGGCGGTTAAATTACCACTTAAGTGGAAATTCAAGCACCTTTTTATATTTCCATTATTTTAAATCCAGGAAATCGATTGGGAAAACCTCAACTACTWTATGTATATGTGCGCGCATGATACCACTGTCCAAACGTATGGAAGTGGTACATTCACACTTAGTGAAACGAAACATAGCTGCCTAACAAACATACTGCTTTGGTCATTACTCAATTCATAGTTTGAAGCTCAACATGAAGTAGTATATTGGAAAATTTTGCACCCAGATGAAAAAAGCGTAGGAGGAAAACAAGCAAATCTTAATACCAGGCAACGAGGTCCAACTTTATTGAATCCTGGCATCAAGTGTTCATGTTCATAGAAGGTGGTCGGGACCAAATTCAGATGTCCTTTTCCACAAAACTTATTCTAAACTACATTGTACAAAGAAGTCTACCAGAGTTGATAAGTCGAAATCAAGTTGGAATTACTAAGGACGAGTGGTTAACTCTGGTGCCAGCAAGAAGTCTGGAGGTTGCAGGCTAGGCAGGCAATAAGCATCGGCTGCYTTTTCATAGTTAACTTCCAACTCACCAATCTTCTCATCAAGTTCATCATTTTCCATAGCCTCCTGATCAAATCAATTCACCCAACTTTAGTTGATATTTGTTAGCGATTATATCACAGCTACTATTCATATCTATCTACATATTGCTCCCTTGCTATAAACTTCAATTATCTGAGCATAAATATTTCATACATCCAATAAAGRGAAAAAATCTCTCCACATTTTGACACCCACGTGGGGGTGGATAATAAAYATAGTAGAAACATTAGATGGTTTTATGAAAATTCTAGCAGGTATTACAGCAYAGGAAAGAACATCATAAACCAAGCTTTCCTTGAGGTAAAATGAAAGAACATACAAAGAGCGATGAGATATAAACATGTTTAAATTAGTTTGGAATTTGGATTGAGATAAGTTGAACCATATAAATTGAGTTGATTCATAGTTGTCCTTAAATCTATTTTTGTTGAATCATACCAAGTTGAATTTATTAATTATAYATTTCTTATATTCATGATAAAGTCACTTGTGAGTATGTTTCTTTCAAATTCACTCCATTGAATGACTTTTATTATTACTTTAAATCTCAAMAAAATCATTAAAATAATTGGTTCTAATTCTTCGAATTGATATTGAAGAATTATTTTTAATTCGAATGTTAAAAGTAGGTAAATAGATGGTTAAGTACCATTAACACCAATATGTTACTTGGTTAGATTGAGTTAGATTAATTATCTGAGTTGGACACTTTAGCATTCCAAACAACTAGTTAGGTCCAATACATTTTTTAACCTAACCTTACCGTGAACAACCTAGGTTCAATTTCCCGTCTAATGTCTAAACTTTTTTAGTTTTCCTTTGGTTGATTGTATTAGGAACCTCTCAACTATTCTTCTCGGAATCTCGGGTGTCAAAATTAGAAACTTTCATATAAAATTCCTTACTTGGGAAACTAGTGAAATATTCAATAGCAGGTATGTGATTCAAAGTGGTGACTTTAAAAATCTCTTTTCATCAGAAAAATAAAAATGGAATAAGGAAAAACCATTAGGGTTTGCCTCTCGTTTTTAGAGCAAAGATGAAACAACAATAAGTAACTGAAAGGCATCCACATAAAAACATGTTTTGCATCACCAACAGTAACAACAAACAACCATCAAAATGCACATTATTCTATAGCACTGACTTGAATAAAAATTTAAAATGCACATGCTAAAAGTTACCTGTATTGGGTAGCAGCGAAATGTAGGAAGAAATCGACTCTTACAGTGCTCATTAAAGAATAAAGTTATCAAAAGTAGTGGAATTGTGGAAATGGAAGCTGCTGGCTTGGCCTTCAGTCCAAAAAGGCCAATCATAGTCACTTGCATCATAATGATCCCTATTATTATATGGTGATGAATGTAAGGCCAGTATAGCCCAAATGTGTCATAAGTAGTTGCATAGACGTCTTCGATCTGCAAGAAATAAACTTAAAATAAGCCATGTAGAAGCTAGAGTACCATTGCTTTATATAAGCTTGAAATTGTTTTATGTATGGGGAAGGTTGAAGAAGTTGACAACTGTTTTTTTTTTTTCTAAATGAAAAATCAAACTTTCATTATGAAACATGAAAGAAAATACAATGGCATACAAAATACTGGTCCCACAAAAGGGGGTCCTAAATATAACTGCACAAAAAGGACTCCAATCCAAAAAAATAAGGCCTAACTGATAATTATAAAACGGCTTAGAGACAGACGCCCAAAGGGRATAATTGAACCTAGCCAAATTCCACCCCTCTAAAACTTCTACCATTTCTCTCTAGAAATACCTATAAAAATAGAAAAAAACACGCATGCCAAATGATTATGCCCTTATCTCGAAAGGGAGGATTCAGAAGGAGGAGCCTTCTCCATCATAGCACAGCAATCACTATTATGTGCCCMAAAAATCCCAAAAACCGTCACAAAGCGATTCCATAAAGCCTGAGAATATGGACAGCTCCAAAGATATGGTTGAGGTCCTCCGATGCATGTTTGCACAAACAACGTCGCTGCTGGCACAAAACAAAAGAGGACTTGTCTCTGAACACGATCTAAGGTGTTAATTCTCCCATGCAAGACCTCCCACGCTAAGAGTTTGACCTTCTCGAGGATCTTAACCTTCCAAAGATGGAAGAAATAATGAACATCAAGAAGGTGAGGAAGGGACACATAAGATCTGAAACAAAGAGCTACATGAGAAACCCCCGAAGGATTAGGGGTCCATAAATAGATATCCCTCCTCGAACACATCTGAGAGTTACCCAAGTGAAAAAGAAGAGCTACCACTCTCACAATCCTATCCAACAAAGGACAACTGAAGCCCAATGAAAGGGAAGGAGAAGAACCCGAATAAGGCATGATAGAGGCTACTAAATGTGACCTCTTCTCTGAAAGTTGATACAACCAGGGAAACAAAGCACAGAGAGGCTTATCCCCCGCCCAACAATCTTCCAAAAAGTAAATATCTGAATCTTCCCCGGATATAACATTTCACAAATTGAGAGAATAAAGGAAAACTTGAAGATGTAGCATTTCAAACATTCTTAGAGAAGGCCATAAACTTGTAGACTAAAGCCCACTCAAAAGGGTGGGAACCATATTTACTCACGTTTATCCTATGCCATAAAGCGTCTGGCTGTAAAGAAATGTCACAACCACTTGGCCAACAAAACCTTCTTATGCAGTCTCAAGTTACCAATGCCTAACCCCAGCTCCAAAGGCTAGGGGACAATGTCCCACTTGACCATGAACCGCCCAAGGCTGGGAGACAATGTCCCACCTGGCGAGGAACCTCCCCCTTCATCAACTCCTTTCCATAAGAAATCTTTCAGGATTTTCTCTAGATTTTTACTGAGACAAGAAGTTTGAACCAGGAAAGGAACATTAACCGCTTAGTCAGGCTCACAAATGATAATTAAAATTGCTAAATAACAGCCTATAATTTGGATAAAGAACCATTTTCCGTTCTTCGGTCGAAACTTTCTTTAAAAAGGTTAGAAGATAATCCCTGCTAACAAAGCAAGGCTTTGAACTTGAACTTACATTCATGACTTCCACTAAATTTACTGTTCCTAATTGTTATTGTATAAAAATTAATTGAAGTACCACTAAATTAACTATTCCTGATTGTTATTGTATAAATTAATTAAATACTTCAAATAAATTCACGGTCAAAATAGGCATCAAAATTGTTGTCCTCTTGAAAATGTGACCAGAGAACGCCAGGAGTACTATCAGTGAAAAGAAGAAAAAAAAAGTGGGGGCAGAAAGGAAGGTAGAAATCCACTGCATACTTCTTTTTTTACTTTTTTTTTATATCCGTGAGTCTCCAAAGCCAACTTACGCGCACCTCGACTAATCTCACGGGATAACTGCCTGACTCTACAACATTGAGGGATCAACATGGCAAGGAATTTTAAGACAGGCTTCACCAGCTTGAGATAGAGAAATTGACTAAGAAAGGAGGAGATCTTCAATTCTTTCCTTCCCTTCCTATCTTGTTTTTTTGTATGTCCTATTGGCATACCTTCAGTGTTCGAAGAGAAACCAATTTTTCCCAGTTCCCGTGGGATATAATAACCATGCAATTAYTAAAACCATGTTGATGYGAAGATGCATCACACGATATAGATAATACACAAGCACATGGAAGAAAAGAAAAACTATCTGGGGTAAAAGATTAGTAAGAGCATCAACCTGAATGACATATATAACATAGCCCAAACAGAAGTAGCCGATGAGAAATGGAAGCAGCAACGGTGCAACTACTGCATATACCATGCCAATGAGTAGCAAGAGAGAGACAAAAGGGATAATTCTAAAATGTGGCAGAGAGTACAAATATGCATCTTTCTCCTTTCCACTGCAACATATACATGACCTCAAAAGATCCCAAATTAATAAACCAGGTTGAAGAATTTCTAAAGAAAATCCTGATAAGCCAGTCGTCAGTATATATGTCACAAAGAAATCAGCCTGGGACACAAAGAAACCAACAACTTCAACCAATAAAATAGTTCTTACATAATCCATATGAATAAATTTTATAAACGAATAGCATCTAAATATTGAAAGAATTCTGTCCAAGCAAGCATGCAATGAATTCAAAAATCAAATAAACCCGGGAAAGGGTACATGGCCATTTTTAGAATAGCTTCGCTAATGTTTGACAATATGACCAAAGGGAAAGCAAGGTAGCAGTCAGAAAATCTGAACAAGAGAGAATAGGCATACTTGAGCAGATGCAGCACTTGCAAGATGATTGGGGATGTTTCTAGGATGTGCAAGATACTCTTCAATTTCATCAAGTAAAGATCCTGATATCAAACTCAGAAAGAACACATTTCCCACCAGAAAATAGAAAACCATGTTACAAGCTTTTATCTCCTCTTTACTCCTTGAAACACAACCTGCTAGTTTGACCATTGCAAGCATTGCAAACGGGACTACATATATAAATCCATTCAGGATTGCACTGGGAAGATACCCTGTCACAACAGAGCTTAATCCTGGTCTGAAGGAAAAATTGACATGTTAGATCCCCGTGAGTGCAGTCTAATRAATAGGATAGCAGAAAGAGACACTGATGTACATAGATTACATAGAAGACACRCTCCAAAAGATAACTTTTTGGTTTAATGCACGTGTATGTTGTTAAGGAAAAAAGATCTCATTCAAGTTTTCAGATACTTACAATAGATTTTCAAGATTTCAAGGTGTGGTCCATATATAAAAAATCCGAGCAAAAGTAATCCATCAACACCAAAAACATGATTTYCTTTTGCTATAAGAATCAATATTCACTACTTAGTGTGGCTGTGAGTGGAATGTTGACTAATGGAGTGATATGACATGAGCCTCTAACCATCATAACACATCGCCAAATAAAATGAAACCATGGTTATACGGAAAAATAAACATATTRCATGACATTTTTACCAAACKAAAAGAAAAAACTATGAAAAATGGACAATAGGAGTCAATTGAAAYAAGAAAGCAATATAAATGTATAGGGTTAATATTCGTAAGACAAGAAACGCCACAAAAATAAAATTACATCAAGTTTATTGCCATGGCTGGTGGAAACCACTTCTTTAATTTCTCAAATTTAGCTATTCCTTGAACGGCAGTAACTGGAATCGCAAAAAAAATTGTAAGAAGGGATGCCCCAACAATAACTCCAAATTCATGAAGAGGTAACAGTCTAATAGGGATTGCCAAATTCTTCCATGATACATCACTAGGTTCTGGAGCAACCTCAGTGATCCAAAGAAGAGGATTTAGGGAGTGTTGTGACTGAGAAGCCAATGCAGCACCCAAACGAGACTTGAATGTAACAAAGGCTACAGGAAGCTCCTGCAGAATATGAAAGAATCATCAAATGATATAGAAGTGTATTATACACCTGAAGAATCCCCATATTTTAGGGCACCAGAAGGGTCAGGGTATTAGCAGGCATATCACACTCTCATCTAATACTATCATTCAACATAAAGAGATGTGATGGACTATCATGCCCCAGGAATAYCAAATACAAAGAACTTGGTTAGTAGAAAGCATCTGAATAACAAAATGTCTAGAATATTTCTAATTTTGAAGGTGAAAAGAATAATCTTAGTCAAGTAATCTATAATACTATAATCTAGATCACAGGTTACCACTGAAATGTAATTATTGAATCTGGTAAAATTACCTTATGCTTAGATGCACTTTGAATCTGCAAGTTATGAATTATACCATGATACTTCCGAAGCTTTTCCTCAAGGAGAGCTATTTTTAATGCGTCTTGTCGAGACGTATCTGAGAGCAAGGGTTCTCTCTTATCATTCATAGAACTGAACTTTTTTCTTCTTTCCTCAATCTTTTCCACGATAGACTTGGCCTGCTTCTGCAAATAATTGTCTACATCAGAATTGTTTAATAAAAAATATTAGATAGTAAGATAAGAACTGTTTCTCAAGTCCTCAACAAGTTTTAAACATTACCAACAACCGGTCAAGCTCTTTCACATCAGATAATATTTGATAAGAATGATAAGTCCATGGATGATATTTTGAGAAAAAATGATCAACATTACACCCACGAGCCTTGTGTTCACTGCATAAAGGAACTTCACGAACTAGAAGAGTAAACTGATCAGGTCGTTTTCTCATGCTTTTAAGTTGTTGAATTCTTTTAACTAATATCCCATTATATTCCTGAAACAAAAGCATGGATACAGTAACTATCATTTTCTACGTTCAATATACATAAATACTTCTTCAGGGTCAGTATTCACCTTATGCAAGAGGTATATTCCAAAAAATGATATGAAGCATAAGCATGAAAAATGTACCCAAAGCCTGCGGAAAAGGAATAATTCAATATAGGACATGCAGTAAATCAGGTACTACTTAAATAGAGTCAAAGAAACTATATATCATTTAGGACCGAAGAAGAATTGTAAAATGACACAATGTTAGTTAAGCTGACCCAACTGCTACGGTCAAGTCTTAGCCGTTCAGTTATTATACTTGTATCTGCTTTGTTTAGTTAGACTGTAACTAATGCATTTAATTTTAAATGATGTGCAGCAATTAGACTTGTGGATCAAGTGTGAATGTGGTCGGTCGAATAATATATTATTTTACTCATTCTCTCTATCTAGCTATGCTAAACGCAAAAGTGTTTTTCATGTTAACAGAGGAGATTGACATGCATCAATGTGTCTTCAGCTTATTCTTCTTCAACAGTCCACTCATCGTCACTCTTGTTTGTCTTCTTTGAATGCAGCAATTGTTTCTCCGATTCTTCAATTTTAAACATTTGCAGTCTTGTTACAATTGCAATAGATTCAAAGAACCGTATTATCTGGAAGTACCAAATACGTTATTTCATCTAGTATGCCAAATAATGGGATGGATTATTTATAAGAATGAGGCAGTGAGTTGCCCTCAACATCCAAGACTATAAGCTAACCAACAGATTGTGTGAACCATAGGTGGTCTTCAATATTTCATACAATTCTRACATCAATATTTTACATTGACATTGAAATAATTTCAATAAAACAATATAAACAATAATTTAATAGTCAAAGTAGAGAGTGACCTATAACCTATTGAAACAAGTAAATGAATTTGTAGTTTCAGAATTCAACCAACGGTGCCCTTTCTATAACAAAATCCTAAATCTGCCACTGTCTTGGAGAGGAATAATGAAGCAGAAKAAGATAGGAGAATTGGTACTAACCAGTCAGATCCTTCCCTGACATTGGATATTGAGAAAGAATCCAAAGAATGGTAACTCCTGGACGATTTATCCTGGCCAAAGTAATTTATGGGGAGAAGTACCAACAACCCAATAAGAGAGCACACGACAGAGAAATTAATGCTGCGTCCAGAAGCAAACCAAATTCACATTAGCGAACACCCATCGCATATAATTCTTGAAAATTAATACTCTCTCATATCATGATGATTGGAGTTCTCACAATTCCACTCTSTCGAAACCAATCAATTGTAGATAGCAATTTCAAACGACGTGAGGATCAATACACTAGCAAATTTTCGAAATGGGGTAATTTCCCCCGCCATTTAACACATCAATGATGCATAATAATTTCAGTAAAAACATGCAAGGAAATAAAAGCAACCAAAATGAGAAGCGAAATTGCACCCGAGCTTGAAGAGTCTGAAGGTAACGAGGGCATCAAGGCCACTGATTGAGAGTATTTCATCTTCGGAGACACGAAAAGCCCGAGGAATCCAAGCGACCGAAGGGATAAGTCGACGGAAAGTGAAAGGTTCGAAGGAAATACGTTGGCCGAGCGAGAGGCGGCGAGCGTAATATATGGCGGCATTTGATGGCTGCTTCTTGAGGATGGAGAAGATGGAGAGGATTATGAAGGCCAAGCCTATGTTAATGGCTGCTGAAGCCAACAAACTTTCCGGATTCATTTTTTGTTGCAGGAGCTCGCCGAGCACAACACAAACCCTAAAACGTCCCGCTCCAGGATCTGGAGCGAGGGGGAGAGAGACGCAACCGCCGCCGCCGTCGCCGCCGTCATCGATGGTACGTGGCGGCTTGGAACCAACGCTTCGTGGCAAAACATAACCGAAGTTGGCGGCAAATTTTTTTAGCGGAATTAGAAGATTGGCGGTCGGACTATTTTCTTCCAATTTTCATTTACCTTATTATTTTGAAGTTAAAATACTATTTTGTTTCCTTTGCTTTTAGSCTGAGTTAATTTTAGTCSGTATAATTTAAAAAKGTTAGTTTTGGTCGCTTTATTTGATTYGGAATAAAGAGATAGGAATCMATTTTTCCATTCAATTGCTATTGAGCTAAGTTGATGTTGACTAATAAAAAAATATTTTAATTRGTGTAATCTTTAATATTATAATAAAAAATATTTACTATAGTAATAAAATAAATTAAAATTTATTATTTTATAATTARAAAAGTTAACAATAATTAGCYCGAAAKAATAAAAATGTATACTAATAATCGTTATAGATCTTATTTTGATTCTGATTTAGACAGTTTTTGTAAACAATAATTCTTATTCCCATTCTAAAAAATTTATGGYAAACGGCAAATGAATAACATTCTTATTCCGATTTATTTGCTTTCGTTTGATTTTCATTCGGTAAGTAAATAGGTCTTAACTTTAATTTATTTTAATATCTGTACTTTGAAAATTTTTATTTTAGTACCGCACTTTTAAAAGGTGATAATTTTAGTCACTCTTCATAATATTTTAACACAAATTTTACACCTAACGGAAACTATTTAGTATAAAGTAATGTTTACATTTTAAGAAATATATTGACTATGATGTGATATTGAAATTGTGAAAGATTTAAAATAGAATGAAGGTCACTTTTTAAAACTACATAAATCAAAATAAACATTTTCAAATACGAAGGCGAAAATAAATCAAAGTTAAAAGTAAATTGACCAAAATAAATCAAAACGGTAGTATTTTAACATTATTTTTATATTTTTTTCTCTTCAAATATTATTGTAATTGATAAAAATACATAAATTACATTATATAATAGGTATGCGAATAAGTTATAAATTTCAAAAAATATATACTTAATGGTATTTCTAATGAATCAATGTTTGAATTTTAAAAGTATCCAACAAAATATAAGTTGTTGAACTTTCCATATTAATAGGTTATTAAACTTTTAATCATGATATTTAATACATCGTTCAAGAAAAAACGTGTTTAACACAACTTATAATCCAAGAATATGCCTGAAACAATATCTCGAGGTTCGTTTTTATTTATGAGTCAATTTTAGCTGTGTAAAACTTGCCTCTAAATGTTGACTTATTTTCTTTGCAGACCCAGATTAAAATTTGAAAAATAATATATTTAGTCTCTAAAATTTGAATTTCATTTTAATTGATAACCTGATGCTTTAATTTAATTTCCAGTCAATTTGAAGTATTAACTTGATTTTTTTCTTTTTTTTTTTTAGATTAAAGTAGTAACTTGAATTTTATTRTCTGTGAGTTGACTGCTATTCTTCGTTTGGAATCAGCAATTTCAATAAATAGAAGACGATAAATTTGAAAATGTTATTAGAAAAAGTAAAGTAAATTAATAATATAAGAATAAACAAATGAGCTAGATTCAAACAACCTCCTACCTCCATTTTAAATTTTTTGCTACAAGAAAACGAAAATTTTCATCGTGCATAATAAGCTTCATGAAGTTTTCTGAAAAGATATATAGACCTTGGAATACCAATGCCGACCAAAGGACTGGTTGTTCTCGTGATCGACCTGTTGGCAAAGAGGAAAGACTGACCAATCAAACTGAGAGGACTCATTGTTCACGTTGGATTCCCGCAACGTCGTGGTTAGTCAACCGTTCGAACTGAACTTTACTATTAATCGTTTCAGTTACTCAATCTCTATAGATACAATATTTTTAGGGTAAAATACACTTGGTCCCTGATTTGAAGATARATTTCTATTTAATCCATAAATTTTAAAGAGTGACAGTTTGATCCCGACCTTTAAAAAATAGTTCAGATTCTAGAGTCATACTATTGTTGGTGTTACCAACGTAATGCTGACATGGCAATAATTCTTAATCATATGTAATCATTTATTAATTTTCATCGTCTCTTTCTCTCTCTTCTTTCCCTTCTCTTCCCCTTTATCTTGTTATCTTTCCATGACTTCTCATTATTGCCACGTGAAGATCCAAAATCTGGTGGTTTCGTAAGATTTAGGCACAGACCATTTGGAGGAACTTTTTGGCTCTTCTCAAGGTGGTAGCCAACACCGCATGGAGAGCTTCTTCAATGACAAATGGAGTCTATTACTTTCATTTATAGTAGAAACAAGTGGAATTTGGTACTTCTATAGTATTTGAATTTTTCCCTGAGGAGCATGGGGCATATGGCACTTCTCCCGACTTTTTCTAAACATCGGGAATGATTTCTTCCAACGATTTTTCAAGAAAACGTTGGGAATGACTTTTTCCGATGCAGTTTGGTGGGGAGGGCAGTGGCCACAGTGGATATGCCCCTTGATAAACACTTTCTCACCATTGTAACATCCTAATAAGAAACTTTAAGAATATATATATGACCATTTATCCTTCTTTCCCTATACTACTCATAAGGAAATATACATACAAAAGATTGGGCAATTATATCAGTAATCGTTTTTCTCTTATTCTGGACAAATCAATTTGCATGCATGCAATGCACGTCTACAGCAACTTCCCTTTTATATATACTTTTCTTCTCTGTTCAATTTCATTTTCTTCCACACATTCTGATCCAAATCTTACTAATTTTAATCTCTAACAAATATGTACAAGAAATAAAGTCCAATTAAGAGAATTCTCAAGACCAATAATTAAACAAAACACACAAATTTCAAAAAGAAAAAAAAAATCCAATCAATTTCGTATCACAAAATACTGATAATATTTACGCAAAAGTGAGAAGAACAAAAGCTTTATCCACTAGCAAAATTGAACCCATTGATTATTTGTTGAACAACAGCTGTGTGGTAATTTGAAGCATTGTACAAAAACAAAGAAAGAAATGGAATGAAAAAATGAAAGAACAGCTTATAGAAACATTATTTAGAGGGAAATATTTAGAGGAGCTTATAGAAACAGCTAGTTCCATTGAGAAGGATCTCGAAGCCTTTCCCACATGGGCACTTCAAATGAATCTCCAATGAATCTCCCACCCTCTCCACTCCCACACTTTCTTCCCCTTCATCTTTACAACCACCACTCTGCACCACCATTTTTAATGCTAATTTAATTAATGTTGTGGGGAAATTCCAGAAATTAATTAATCATACCTTTTTTGTGTCCCGTTCTTCGTGTTCTTTCATGAGTTCATTCCACAACTCATTCATCTCCCTCAATCGCTCCTTGATCCCTGTCAGCCTCTGTAAACAAAAGAAACATAAAAATATAATTGTATTTTGATTTTGATTGGATCCGTTTGACGAATACTTCAGTACATATTAAAGAAAACACAAACCTTGGAATCAGGGCTGTCTCTAGTGGGGGCAACCTTATTTGGGGATCCGGAAATGTTGTCGGGGCCGGGAGATGGATTCGGGTCAGAAACAGTACGCCGGAGAGGCAGCGGCGGAGGAGGCAGAGTGGGTCCGTTAAGGTGTTGGGCCGGGTCAGGGTCGGAAAGGGAGCGGCGGAGGGGGGAGTGGACCTGGATTTGGGCTGAAGGCCCAAAAGGGATGGGGAGATCGATCCTGGAGAAAGCGTGGGGGAGATCTTGACTGTGATTGTGTTGTGGATCAAGAAAGAGCCTCTTGGAGGTGGAGTTGGGGTCTTGAAACGGCGTGGGAGAGCGGCGTTTCATGGGTGTGGCACTGGCGGCGGAGCGAGGTTGAGGGAAGCCGCAGGAAGCACAGTGATGTTGGCCTCCGCCGCCGGAGGAGTTGAGGCACAGCATCGAGAAACGGGGATCCAACACCTCGTCTTCGCCCTTTTGGGCTTCACACGATTCTTGAACCAGATTGCTCATAATGATGGAACTGGAACGCGAACAGAGAACCTGCAAAACCAAGAAGAAGGTTGCAATATTATTTTATGAACTTCCAAGATCGATAATGGACTGATAATGAGCGAGATTGACAGAGAGATCAGTGGAGAAAAGAAAACCCTAACTTGAACCCATAAATGAGATCGGGAAAGAAAAGCGAACCTGGATGGTTGACTGACTACGGGAACTGAAGATGGCGGCGACGAGGAGAGAAGAAGAAGCGACTCCGTTCTTATAGCCGTTGGAGCCAGCGTAARGAAGAAGCTAACTCAAAATAAAATTATATATATAAATTAATTAAACTTTTTTATATTAACTTTTTTTCTGAAAAGAAAACTTTTTTATATTAACATTTAGAACTTCTCTAAAGTAAAATTATTAATACAATTATCTAGTCTCGTGAAATAAAAAATCATACAAAATTATATTTAATAAAAAACTTTTTTTTTTTAAACTTCTTTAACTCCCATCTCTCCTCTAATTTTTCTTCGTATTAATGTTTAAGTTGAAATTGTAATATAAATTATATTACATAAAATTTTATTACTGTATATGAATTATAAGATTTTTTTTTTCAATTAAAAAAATTGTTGACTTCAAACTAGTTTGAATTTTAAATTATAATTTCATGACATTTCATATTTGTATCAGAAATTGTAATATATACTAGAATAGTTTAAAATAAAATAATTTTAAATTTTAATATAATTTATTTAAAAACTATATCTCTCACCTACCTATAATATAATCTTTTAAACTAATCTTTTCTAATGACAAATAATAATATATCATCTTTTCCTAAATCTTATTATTAATTTTTTTAAAAGCTTATATTATGTAAAGATTACAAAAGGCACGTACCTGCCAAATTAAGAATATAGGGATAACGAACCCGCCAAATCGAGAGCTAAGAGATTACCCACCCTCCAAATCGAGACCGAGGTAACAATTTGAACCCGCGAAACCAAGAAGAAAATTACAGTTTATTGATGGAAAAAAAGAATTGGTAAGTTCATCTAAATCTTCCCTGGCTTCAAGGGCAATTCAGGTCATTTTCCAAGAACATGAAGAATTCTTGGGTTTCTTTATCCACCAGAATACTCCCAAAAAATTAGGGTTTCGAGACACCCAGAAGCCTTAAAAAGATGGATAGAACAAACTTATGCTGATAAATGGGAGTCCGTGATTTTACCAGAAACTTGGAATAACTCATGGCGGCCGTGTCCCCTCAAAAAGAATATATACGTATAAAACTCGTTACAATCATGTAAAATGATGTCACAACGTTCATATAAAATAAAATCAAACTCGATTGTACATTTCAACACGTGAAAAATATTAATATATTAAACCAATATTTAGAAGCACTCAGTGGCAGATCCGAACACAAATGCATATAAAGATTGAAAAAATATCAATTTTATACAAGAACTTTGTAATGTGTATCAATTTGCATCTTATAATTGGATAATATTATAATTTTCGTCAATATATCACAAAATTTACCAATAAATTATCACTCATGTGTCAAATGAATTAAAAAACACATATTTTAGTATAAAAATAATTGATATAATTTAGACAAGGATGAGGCAACGACGTCATCGATATTAGAATTGTTCCAAGTTTGAAAGTTTTGATTGAGTTATTTGACATTAAATTTTGTACATTAATCAAACTTAATTTGAGAAACTTAATTTTTGTTAAATTAGACTATTTTTATAGATTTTTAAACTGAATAGATGAACTAACATAAATTATTTGAGAAACTTGATTTTTGTTAAATTAGAATATTTTTGTAGATTTTTAAACTGAATAAGATGAACTAACATAAATTTAATAGAGATGAAAATTATAACATTTTTTAAGATTATAACTTAAATTTATACAATCAGATGTAAATTTAACTATTTGGTCAAAGAAAAATTTAAAATTACTTTTTAAAATAAGGATTGGATGTATTTTGTGGAAAAAAATCACTTATTTAAAAGAATTAAACGTTAATTTGTTAAACAAAAACATTTTTCTTTAAAGAATTAGACATAGTTTAATCTAAAGATTTTACATCAAGATTGCAAAAAATCTATAGAATAAAAGACAAAAAAACAAACAAAATTATCTAATTCAATTGTCATTACTTTTAATAACTACTCTATTATTCACATGATTTGATGATGAAAAACTATTTCTTTATGGAAGAAGAACAAATTTTATTGTATAATATCAACATATTTTGAGTTGTCTATGCATTTTTCACTCTTAATAAATTTTGACCTGCATACATTTTTGTATTATAAAAAATAAATTATACTTTTCAACTATGATGAAAATTAATAATTTATTAAATAATTATTTAATCTAAAATAATTGCATTAAAATAACAGTCCAATTATTATGCAATTACTTTCATCAATTTTTTATTTTTAAAGAATTCTTAGCTTTTTATATATATATTCATTCAAAGAAACCCTTTCACAAATGCAACAAATATCTAGACAATAAATATATCAATGCAATCATTAAATCAACAATTCAAGGGAGATGGAGGCATCAAATGGGTTATTTCCTGCCTATTTCTTCTATACCATGACCTAGAAGAAATCTATCAATAATAAAGATAAATAAATAATCTTCTAGCTATAAACAAAAATTAGTTAATAAACTATTATCTGATGACTGATGTCATTGAACTTCATACTTCTAATCATGTCATATGCATAAATCAATCCTATTAAGATGGAACCAACAACATAACTAATATGTGGTCACTTAAGAGTTGCTTAAGAATTAAAAATAATTATCTTGACTTGGTGACATTTAACTTGATAAATTATCTGACAACTCAATTTTAGACTCAATATTTAATACAATCTGTTAGGGAACTAGCAACTCTGAAAATCTGTAAGTGCATTATTCTTCTCCAATCATAAATAAATTGAAATAAGCACCTGTTTTAGAAATAATATCAGCAATATCACATTCCAATTGTAAGTAAATGGCTCAATAGAATACTGCTGAAGAGCTATGGCATGTGGTCGAATGCAGATGTAGAAGCAACCAATCAAGAATTAGAATTTAAGCAAAAAGCAATCATTTCTATCATACGCTTGCCAGTTCAAAAACAGATACAATGCAACCCAGAAGCCCACAAAGTTTCTTTTTATTATTATCTAGTTCTTTAGTAAATTGCAGATAGTTGTTTCTTCAGCAACTTTCTGAACTTTCAGAAAGTTCCGCCGGAGGATTTTCTGTGGGTAAACAATAATGGTTTCTCATCTTCAGTTTGCGAGTGTTATTAAAAAAATTTTCCCTTGTGAGGTGGATGATCTAATGCTTTATAATGTTAGAGTTTTTGAAGTGTCTTTGGAATTAAAAGTCAATTGGGCCGAATCTTCAGTTAGGACTCTTTTTGGTAATGGTGAAGGTTCTTTTGGCTAAAAGCACTCTAAAACGTAGGCTTTCATATTCTACACAAAAGTTATCTATGAGTTAGAGATGAAATCTTTTAGCACATGAAATTGTTATTAGATACTAATGAAGATTATGCAAACCATATTATTTAATGGCCACTTAGATTAAACAGATAACGAATGGAAGAATAGAATAGAACTCATGACTGGCTGAAAATAAATAGTGGGAGGAGCACACCAACAAAAAGAGAAAAAACAAGTGAGGCATTTCATATATATGTATTTTATGAATTCTAAAAAAGTAGAAGGATGAATAAAACTTACGTGCCATTTCTATAATCACGAAATAAACTCTTCCAAAATTTGAGCCACGACCAGCAGATTGGTTGACTTCAACTTCGTATCTCCATGTAACCCGTTAAAAGAAAAAAAAAATCCTTTATTATTGTATTCGTTTACTTGGGAAAACTCACAGAATAAAAAGTAAGTTGTTCTCAACGTAATATGGAGAGGACAAGAACGCCAAAGTCAAAACTACTAAGACTATAAGTAGAAGGAAGCACCTGCCTTCCATGAAACACTTGTTTGCAAAATAAATTGGTGCATCAATCCAAACAATCATAATTCCATTGTAGGCCTCAGAATACTATTGAACATTTCTATACACTGTAGTGCTAGGAAGACGTCCCAACAGAGCTATAATAGGAACAAATCAAAGAATTAATACTAAAATACGAGGATATGATAGCAAGATATTAGAAGTATATTAGTCATCAGCAAGCAAGTTCGTTGGAAGAAGGTGGTTATAAATAAGGTAAATCCAGGTAAAGTAAGTTATGCAATTACTACTCATATTTTACTGTATTTTACCGTGTTTTCTTATTTTTATTAATATCTTAGGTAAGTGCTATTGAATCTATTCTGGTCTTGATTCTATTCCCACTAAGAATAGAAGTACGTTAAGCAACATAAAATTTAATAGAAGAAAAAAAATTGAGAAAATAAACCCAAAGATGGGGAGCACTAATTGATTGTTGGTGGCGAAATGAGGGAGATGACCCAATAAAGGATAGGGAGGCATCAAAAGGGTTATATTTCCTACCTATTTCTTCAATGCCACGACTTCGAAGAAATCTATCCAGGATAGTAATAAGTCCTCAAAAGTCAAAACTGTAAACAAAATTAGTCAATAAACTATTATTTGATGTCGTCGAACCTCATACTTCTAGTTATGTCATCAGCATAAGATGGATCCAATAATGTAAACTAATAAGAAGATGGAACTAAATATGTGGATACTTATGAGTTGCTTAAGAATTGAAAATAGTCGAAATCTTTGCTAGTTGTAAAATAGCAATTAAGACCAATAAATAATTATCTCGACTTGGTAACATCTAACTGTTGGGGAACCAGCTCTGAAAAATTGGAAGTACATTATTTTTCTCCAATCATAAATAGATAGAAATAAATTTTAAGAGCTTGATAAAAAATGCTCTGTTCTCTCTCCTCTCTCTTCCTTCCCTTCCTTTCCTTTCGGTCTCTCTTTTGCTGTTAGTTTCTGAATTAGCCTGTCTCTAGCTTGATTTTAATCTTATTGTTCGTGGTTCATTCCGAATTTTCATTAAGGAAATCAGTAGTTGTTGTATTGATGGCTCCTTCTTCTGTATTTGGGGTGAGAATGATATGTTCAGGGTTGAGGATGTGGCAAGGAAAACGGTGATGTCCCTACACTCTTCTCAATTTTTATTGTTCGAAAATCACATGTTGGAAGTTAATCAGCAATCGATTCCGAACTCCTTATTCTTTCAGCTACGCGATGATCTTGGGCAATGTCGTATACAAAAATACAGAACTAAGAACATTTGGTTTTTAGAATGGGTGGTATGGCCTTCTACGGGTGGTAGGAAGAGCGTACTTGTCCCTGCTGGATCGAAGAGAGATGGTTGGCAAGTATTTTGGAAGATGTTGAAAACTTTCTCTGTCAGGTTTACAGAAGCTCAAGCTTCGAAGATGGTAAGGAATGTCGACTCTCTACTACGCAAAATGCTAATGTAGTAGGGAAACAGCTTCACCAGGAGTTTTCGGAAAGGAAAGGTAGTTTTGTCCCCAAGTCGACTCCAAAAGATGGAAGGTCTTATGCTGAAGTGGTTGCTGGAAAATGTGAGTTAAAGCCTGCAAGGGCCTCCGGCATCATCCATAGGATGCTTGAGGAATCTAAGGTGTCTAAAGTCGACAAACTTCAAGTTTATTGGGTTCAAAAAGAAGAAGAGGTGCTGGAGTTAGATTGGAATCGCCTTATGGTGGTTTCTAAGGGGTGTGCACATGACAATTGGAATGCGATTTCCAAGGCTTTAAAATAAAAATTCTCTCTTGACTGTGTGATAAATCCTATCATGGTTGATAAGGGTCTCTTGAGATTTTCAGGGGATAGGATGCTTAAGCCTTGTGAGCTATCTGGAAAGTGGAGAAAGATAGGAAAATATCATATTAAATTAGAAAAGTGGAGTCCTGCATAATAGAAAAGAGTTCATTCAGGGTTACGGTGGTTGGATAACAATCAAAGACCTATTTGTATTATTGGACTCGTTCTACTTTTGAAGCTATTGGTAGGCATTTCGGGGGATTACTGAAGATTTCTTCAAAGACTCTTAACATGTTGGAGGCTTCAGATGCATTCATCAAAGTTAAACCTAATATCTGTGGTTTAATGCCAGCCACTGTGACCATTGCTTATGAGAAATATGGATCTTTTGAGATTAGGGTTTTTGTTAATCGCCCTCCATCTTCAGTAGTTTCAGTTGGTTCCAACTTGGATTTTGAACCACTATCAAACCCTTTGGATTTTGAACCACTATCAAACCCTTATCAACCACTATCAAACCCTTAAGAAAGACACATCCATACTCACAAAAAAAATTTTTTGTCTGAGGATCAAAACATTTGTAACCTTTTTGACCTGAAGCATAGCCTAAGAAAACACATTTAATAGCGCAAGGGTTAAGTTTCGACCTGAAATGACTAGGTGTGTGAACGTAAGTAGTACACCCAAAAACTTTGAGAGGTAGATCAGAATATATGCGGGATGTTGGAAAAATATTTTTAAATGACTCAATGGGAGTTTTGAAATTTAAAACTTTAGTAGGCATCCTATTTATTAGGTAGGTCGCTGTGAGAATCGCTTCCCCCCATAAATATTTTGGAACATGCATAGAAAACATTATAGCACGTGCTACTTCAAGTAAATGCCTATTTTTTCTTTTAGCAATCCCATTTTGTTGAGGAGTATCCTGACAAGTAGACTGATGAACCATACCTTTTTCTTTCAAAAAATTTCCCAAAAACTCATTAAAATACTCAGTTCCATTATCAGAATGTAAAATACAAATTTTTGTTTGAAATTGAGTTTCAATCATCTCATAAAAGTTTTTGAAAATGTCTTTCACCTCAGATTTTTTTGAGGTTAAATAAACCCAAGACAGGCGAGTATGATCGTCAATGAAAGTAATAAACCATCTTCTTCCACTATGAGTACTGATTTTAGAAGGACCCCAAACATCACTGTGAATTAAGTAAAATGGTTTGGAAGCTTTATAAGGTTTTGGAAGATATGTGGAGCGATGATTTTTTGCTAAAAAACAACTTTCACAATTAAAAGATGAACAATCAATTCCCTTAAATAACTTTGGAAACAGATATTTTAAATAGAARAAAYTGGGATGTCCTAGTCTACGATGCCAAAGCATAATTTGTTCCCTAACAGAAAGAGAACTAATACTACTAAGACCCTGAGTTATTTTATTACTAAAGGTACCTTCATCAAAGTAGTAGAGACCATCAATCATCCTACCGCGGCCAATTATCATCTCCGAGTTCTGATCCTGAAAAATACAATGGGATTCAAAGAAAGTAACACGACAGTTAGAATCTTTAGAAAGTTGGTTAACAGATAAAAGATTACATGCTAATTTTGGAACATGAAGAACAGACTGTAACGAAATTGTCTCAGTCAATTTAATGGTTCCTTTGCCTGCAACAGAAGAAAAACTACCATCTGCAATTTTAACCTTTTCATTGGAATATGAAGGAAGGTATGATTCAAAGAGATTAGAAGAACTTGTCATATGATCAGAAGCTCCAGAATCTATAATCCATGGAGATGAGTTACTACACGAGAAAGCCTTAGAATAAATAYCTGTTTSTGTCAAGGATACACATGAGTTATTAGAAGGTAAATTGGAGRATAGCAATTTTAGGATTTGATGAATTTRCTCTATACTTGAGTCACCACGACTATCACCAAACATTTCTCTACCATTGTCAGTTGAGATTTGGACCATTTTAAATAAACAACTTRTCMTGAACAACTTTGCCTGAACAAAAACTGACAACAGAATCACACCACCAGATAGTAATTAACCAAATCAAATCAGGCCACAAATTGATATTAGAAAGGAGATAACCATAACCAGGAGAGTCGAACCAAGTCAGAATAAGTTATGGCAGATGAACCAACCCGAGCCGATTTGAACCAAAGCCCTGAACAATGCAATACTTAGAAAATCTCCGATGGACAGGATTGACGGTAATTACAGAAGCGGCGGTGAGATCTGCAAGCAGAAGAGGTCGACTGTGAGCAGAAGATGGCGACCGACAAGAGTGCTGGCAGATCGAAGACGGCGAGGATGTGCGCCAGGCAGAGATGGGCGATCGCGAATACCAGACGAAGGGACGCGGAGGTCGACTGATGAGGGGTCACGACGCGGTGGATCTGTGCGGATGACGGAGACCAGCGAACGACAGGTTGCATCGCGGATGGGAGCAGCGGCGGATCTGTGCGGATGTCACCGGTGCAGATCAACGGTGAGGACGACGGATCGACGGCAACAGCTGCGTTGCCGTGGGGAGTTCGTCAGAGGTAGACTTACCGGAAGGAGGAATGGATGCCGACTAGGATTTTGATTGACGGCTAGGGTTTTAAAATTAGGGTTTGATATTTTAGATGATGGCTAGGGTTTTGAGAGTTAGGGTTTACTTCCTAAGCTCTGATACCATGTTAATTTGAGAGAGTAAAAAATATATTCCATGATTCAAACATGTAACTTAGGTCTTCTTACATAGGAGAATGACCTACTACAAACAAGGAAAGTAATAAACACCATAAAGACTGAATATCAACAATAAAGACTAAATATTGACAACTAATATTGACAACTAATATTGACACAAATATTGATAAATCCAACATATACTTGTAGATTTTTTGTGTAATTATCCTTTACTTTTACTTACAAATAGTTTTACAGCCATTAATTTCTTCAAGTTGAAAGCTATGATAAAACATATCCATTATAAGTTTGAACAAACTAAAAGTGACAGTAAATAATTATCTAAATAAAACTACCGTATCAGAACAATTTTAAATACGTACCCCAATTAAGACACCAATCTCAATGCCAAGAAACAACGTAGAAATTGCAGTAATCACCCATAGAAGAAAATCTTTCTTGTCAATGCGCCATAGAAAAATAGCCTCGTCGTAATCCACCTGAAACGATAAGCATCCAAAGAAAGGGAAAATAGTTGTTTCATGACAATAGTAAATGCACGTCCATCTACAATCATGAAAACATAGAAAAAAATGCCCCCATAATAGATAATCTCATTGAAACGAGCAGGGAAATATGTTCCCACAATCACCGTATCATCATGACAATTTTCACTGTGACATCAAGAGATACTTCTAACTTCTTGAGTTTTCCTACTTCCTTTTTCTTGAGCAAAATCTATCAACTTATAAGCAAACAAAAAACCTCACGAATAAGGTGACCAGTTAGTCAAAAAGATGGAAGCATCACAAGAAGAAATCAATATTTTATTCATTACACAAGAAGAAATTTAGAATTAGGCTATAGTTTCAAATAAGATGAAAGTATATAATTTTAGTTTAGAGTTGTACGAACGGCAGAGAGTCCAAACAACTTAAGATTTTTATCCCCACATAAGAGACGATATCGTTAATTTCAAAGGATAACAAATGGGAAGAGAAGACATTCTCCCACCAAAGTAGAGAGAGAATGGATAGTGTAAGCAAAAGGCAACCAACCCTAGATTCTCCATTTAGACAATCTGCCAAAGATTCTTTCAACTGCAAGGAACGAGGATACCCCAAATGAAGATTTCTAGATACACTAAGGGCCAAGTCCGGTAGAATGAGAAAAGGAAGAAGCGTTGGTATTCACTTGCCAATCCTCACAGTCCAATCAACTTACGCTTAATCGCCTCATAAAGAAAGTCAGAACAAAAATCTGAACAGTATATTTGTAGTAACAAACACAACCATGATCATGCTCCATTTGCTAATTAACTCTTTTTTTTTTCTCAGGGTGGTAGCTAATTAACTCACTTATTAGATAAAATGTACATTTAGTCATATTTGTTAATATCATCAGAAGATTTAACTAAATGAAAAAAAAAATAAGAAAATTACTGCATTAAATTCGGCGGTGCTTACCAAAGTTATTACAGCAGAGATCACAATGGCAGCCAATGCACACTAAGACGACAAAGAACAAAGAAGCAGAGTTAGCATCTTCAAATAAATAATGTGATGGTGGCTTTAAAGACACGAATAGATAAGTGGTTAGAGTACAGTTTAAATGCTTGATTTTAATCTAACCTAACATCTCTAGCTTTTCCAAGTTTATGGTACAAATAGCATTGGAATCTCAAATTTACTACATTATTCCCTCTGCTTTTTCAAAACAATAATCCATGCATTAAATCAAGTTCAGTTAAATGAAGTCAAAGTCCAAAACGAGATATGGAAGAGAGTAATAAGATATAATTTAAATGTTAAAGTCAATTTGAACCTCAAAGTTTAAGCTTTGAAGACTAAAAAAAGTTCAATATAAAAAAAATCACATTTAAGTTGTCTTAGCACCTATAATGATTGCAGCATTAGTATTATGACCTTTTTCTAAGAGGAAAAATGAACACAAAGGTACAACAATTATATGGTAAAAGTACATATTACCACCCTGGTTATGTTCAATGTCTTTTATAATACGGAGAATGGAGATAAACCTGAGGTATGTACTTAAACAATGGAGTCARGAAAAGAAGGGCCCCACCCATGACCATTCCTGTAACAATCTGAGATAAGCCAGTTTTAGCTCCACTTTCGTGGCTCACGGCTGATCTTGAGAAAGAACCTACAAAAACACATGAAAAAAAAAATATATATATATATACACACTAATGATTCATTTAAGAGAGAAATCTCAAATTCTTCTAGATTTCGTGCGATAGTGAATCAATTATTAGCAACCATATGAGATAAGTTGTAAAAGATAGTTGACCTGTTGTGGGATATGCTGAAAAAAATGAGCCAACGACATTGGATACTCCAAGACCAAATAACTGTTCAATAAGATATGAACTATAACTCACTTTTCGCTAAGTGAAGTAGCCAGTTTCAAGAGGTGTAGAAATTGAAAATCATTTCCCAAGGGCAAAAGTACATACCTCCTGATTTGAATCTAACTCGTACCCATTCTTTGCTGCTAATGCTTTGGCAATCCCAACAGATTCCTAAGAGCAAGGAATGTTCAAAAGAGACCACTAAGTGTTAAGCATGATTGTCGTGTAAGCAACAAACTTAGAGGGATAKGAATGACTTCTCCTACCAATATAGCAACTCCTGTGATCAGAAATGCAGTTGGAATCAAAGACTTCACATGCTCGAATCTTTTAGGAACAGAAAACTTTGGAAGGCCTTGGGGAATGTCTCCAACCTAAACCATTACCACTTGTTAAAAAGCATTATGGCTCACAATAAACATATTCATATTATGTTTCTAATTTTTTTAATTAAATTTTTTTTTTAAAAACTACTAAAAGATTAATACATATGTTGGCGATTAACAGTTATATGGTCTAATGGCAAGATAAAGAGCAGATTGTCATGACTATAAGTCGGTTACAACCAGAATTCAATATCGTTTGTATGAAATAAAAAAGTATGTAGTATTTCACTTAACTTACCAAGGTCTTCATTAATGCCTTGTTCATAATTAGCACACATCGTTGCTAAATGTAGTTTATGGAGCACCAAAAAGAAATTAAATATGATTTTGGTTTAAAGCATATTATTCTAAACATCATCAGCATGAAACTGAATTCAATCTGTATAAAGTAATTAAAAGATATAGAGAAAGGATCCTAAATTTTTATTATCAATGCTTACCAAAGAAATGGAAGGTACATTCAATACTTTCGCCAAAGTTCCCATACTCTGAGAAAACGTGAGTGCTTCCTTGTTTTTCCCTAATCACGAATGCTAAAATAATAAAAAGAATCTGATGAGAAGTTAAAATTATCAATAAATAGATAAGATCCCATACCAAATGCTTCATGATCTGAAGTACAGCAAGGATGACTGACACCATTATGAAGTAACAATGCTGTTGCGACTCAGAAATGTGGAGATCGTAAGATCCTCTAAAGTTTGATTCGATACAAAAAAAAAAAAAAATCGGATTGAGGAGTTCCGTGATTCAAGTTCCATATTTGGCGCGAAAGAAAAGATTGATTATGGAAAAGAGAGAGAAATAGGCGCGAAATTATATTAATTCCTCAAGACATTCACGATCAATTACCAGATTAGGGTTTTCGGATGAATTTGATCTTCGTGATTTGCAGTACCCAACATTAATCCATTGAAAAGGAGGATATCAGATTAAAGTTTAAACGTTAGGGTTTCTGATGAATCGATCGAGCGTCACAACGGATGATCCGAACATCGAAATTTGGATGATACTGCGAGAAATTAATAAAAATATGAAATCGAAATTGGTAGGATTAGGATTCTAAGGTTCGGCCGAAATTTCGGTGAAACCGCAAGACATTGATAATATTTTACAGAATCGGAATTAGTAGGATTAGGGGTTTCTTAGGTTATGAAGTTGTTAATATTTAAAGAAATCGGAATGGGTAGAATTAGGGTTTCAAAAATTGTGCAGAAATTATGAAGAAATCGGGATTGGAAGGGTTAGGGTTTCATCGTTCCTTGCATCTCGATCTTCATCGTTCCTTGCATCGGGGAGAAGAAGAGACATTCCAAATAATTCGGAACCCGCCTATCGCTACACGAAGATAAAATTGTGAAGCCCGCCAGTTCCTTATTTATAACCATTCCCTAATGTTCATTCTTCAGTGTCTGCAGTCGATGTGGGAGTGGGACATCCAATTTCCACATTCTTTTCCCTACTTTTCTTTTTTGTTTTTATATTACATTATTTCTTTTATTTCACTGCATATTGAAAATGAAGTAAATTCATCAAATTTATATACCATCAATATCAAAACACCCAATATTTTAAGACATCGAGAATAAATATTTCGAATTTAGTGCCATAAAAAAATACACACATTTAGAATTTAGTTATATTGAAACAATACTTGATAATCTTGTTATATTGAAACAATCAATACTTCATGATAATTATTATATCGAAATAATCAAACAACTTTCTAATCTTGTTATATCATGAGTCAAGGAAACTAATATTTCAAGGAAGCTATAAATAGCACCAACGGAACATATTTTTAAAAGCAATCAATAATTCAAGATAATCATTATGAAACAATGAAAAAAAAAAACATTTTAAAGCAACCATTATGACAAAGTATTGAATGTTCAAAAGATTGATATAATCAATATTTCAAGGCAACAAATATTTAAAGCAATCATTCTATTACAGTAGTCAATATTTCAAGCCCATCAATACCAATATTTCAAGGAAAAGAAAGCAACAATACATCAAAGCAAATGACAAATAAGACAAAATAGACATTTATCGAGACATCTATTATATCAAAACAATCAATATTTCGAGACATCTATTATATCAAAACAATCAATATTTCAAGACGAATACTTCAATGCACCAAGAAGTTATGAGTTGGAATCCCCACCCCCACATGTTATACTCAAAAAAATACTTCCCAATTATGTCAATGCAACGATATTTCAAGGAAAACAAAGCTACTATAACAAAACAATTGATAAATAAGACAAAATAAAAGGACTAACCAATAATTTAAATATCGATCAACATATTGACATGTCGACGTGTCGACAACCTCCACTTCGACAGGGGAGGAGAAAGTCCTTTTTCCCCGTGTCGTCAACATATCGCCAATATACAAATGTTGCGATATCCACAACATTTCGAAAATGTCTTTTACTAACATCAAAAGGCCCAATTTTTGACAAAGGCCCAACCCAACGATTAATTATAACCTAATTAAGTTACAACTAAAGTCTTATTTACTAATTCAAAAAATTTGTACCAATATTTGCAATTTACATGTCCATCGACCTGTCCGTAAAATCGGGACATCGATCTCAACATTTGCATCAACATTGACATTTCTAACATTGGGACTAACACACAAATAAATATTTTATAAACCAACAAAATTACCGAAACAAACTTCATATAAATTACATCAAGACAAATACTTAGAAGTGACCAATTTTTCAAAAAAATCATATCGAGACATATTTATCAATAAAACTATTATATCAAAACAATCAATACTTCGAGACCAATACTTCAATGCACCAAGAGGTTGTAAGTTGGAATCTCCACCCCATATGAACTACAAAAAATAAAATAAAAATACTACATAACAATTGATAAAATAAGACAAAATAATAGGACTAACCAATAATTTAAATATTGGTCGACACATCGACATGTCGACAACCTCCCTATCGAAAGGGGAGGAGAGAGTCTTTTTTTCCCCATGTCGTCAACATATCGCCAAAATAGCAAATGTTGCGATATCCACAACATTTCGAAAATATGTCATTACTAACATTAAAAAATATTTACTTTTAAGACAAAAGGCTCAATGTTTGACAAAGGCCCGACACAACGATTATGGTTAATCATAGCCTAATTAAGTTACAACTAAAGTCTTATGTCCATAAAATCGGGACCTCAACATTTGCATCGACATCGACATCGACATTTCTAACCTTGGGACTAACACACAAAAATAAATATTTTATAAACCAAAAAAGTTACCGAAACAAACTTCATATAAATTACATCAAGACAAATACTAATATCAAAGCAATCAATATTTCGAGCCCATCAATATTTCAAGACTAATACTTGAAATAAAGGAAAACAAAGCAACTACTGTATTAAAGCAATTGATAAATAAGACGACAACTATTATATCAAGACAGATTGATGTACTTGAAGCTTCAAGACAACTACTATATCGAGGCAATCAATATTTCATATTTCGAGGCAAGAATGTATATGGTATATTCAAACATCATTATATTGATGTACTTGAAGCTTAAAGACAACTACTATATTGAGGCAATCAATATT